CGGCGCAAGGCCCTCGGGGCCCGGCGCTGCGGTGAGGAGCGAGCGGGCCGGGGGGCGCGGGGCTCCGGGCCTTGGGTCTGCCTGTACGAGCCCGAGGGTGGTGTCTCCGTCGTGGGAAACTTGTGGTTTGGTCTGAGAAGGCCGAGATTAAAAGCTCTAAATCGGGCTGTTTGCGGGGTTCTCCGACCGCGTAGAGGTATCCAGGTACAGTGTGCTGGGTCTGGAGCAGCTGTGCCCCGTATTGGCGTGTGCGTGTGGTTAACCAGGGAACTAAACCGGTTCGTTTTCGGTTTGGTCCAGGATTGAATTGTCCCAGGTTGAGGTTTGTGCAGCCTGGTTCCAGAGCACCTCCAGCAGAACTTCAGAGCCCTGGTGCATCATTTTTATGTGGAAGTAATCGTAGCTTTGCATTGTAGTTCATTGTAGTCTTAAGCTGACTAGGGGAAGTTTAGGTTGGACATTAGGATGAATTTTTTCATAGACAGGGTGATGAGATGTTGGAATGGGCTGACCAGAGAGGTACCAGGCGGGGTCACTGTCCTCGGAGCTGTTTAAGAAAAGACTGGACATGGCACTCAGGGCCAAGGTCTGTTGACATGGTGGTGGTTGGGTCATAGGTGACTCCATCTCACATGTCTTTTCCAGCCTAGTTGATTCTGTAATTCAGAGTGAAGATTTTTGTTCATTCATACACTATGAAGTTGTTCCTGGATCTAACTCCTTCATCTCTGTTTTTTCCCCAATCTTTTTCAAGCAGTCAACTTTCTCTATTTCACTATGATGTCTTTAACATTGTTTGTACTGAAAACACGATAAATGTAAGTCATTGTGGTTCTGTCTTAATGCTTTTGATGTGCCTCATTATATACAGTTAGGGTTTTTCTCCCTGGCAGGTAACAGCTTTGTTGATAAAATTATTCCATAAGGTTTCATTGGCATCATTGTATTTAGAATTCAGTGTCACACTAATTCTGCTTTTGTTAAAGTACTTCATTCTCATGATGAAATCCTGGCGACAAGAAGGCAGGTTATAACAGGTTGAGTCATGTCAAAGGAGTAGCCATGACAAATGACTAGTTCAATCTAGGACTTTAACTTCCTGGATTTTCTTGCTTTTGAAACTGCCCATAGTAAGTACCAAAGGGGGAACTTCAGTGACCCTGTGCTGGTTATTCCTTCCACAAGAGTGGAACTCATGTGCCAGGTACAGCAAAGATGAGGCAAGTCTTATCTTGAGTCTATTTTGATAGTTTTCCATGAAAACAGTCAATGCAGTGTCAGAAAGCACTGTCTGTAGGTTGTATTCAGTTAATGAATAACACTGTTTTACTGAAGGTACTGTTTTAGCTTTATGTGAAAGTGCTTTAATTAAAGGTCATTTTTTAATGACTTAGTATAAGTAAAAGTAGCTCATGGGAAAAATAGGTTTTTAATGTGGCACTTTTTTGTTTCTTCCTAGGCTCATTAAATGGAGTGCTGTTGCTTTTGCTTTATAAATAGAAATCTGCTGTAAATAATTAATTTTCCCCATAGTTTATCTGAACCTTTTAAAATAGACAACTTCAGGATAGTTTAGGTATGTTTTGCTTCCTGAGCCCTTGATAGTGCCTCTAACACTATGTATATGCATATATATAACATAAATATGATTTTAAATTGCCTACGTGTAGTATGTAAATAATTATAAGTTTGGGCAAGAGCTGGAAAACTGTATCCTGTATTGGGAAAAATGCGCAGTACGAAACTGAATGTGTTATTTCCTGAACAGTGTATACAGTAGGTACTGTGTGCATCCATCTTGGCCTTTTAAAGGTGTACATGCCTTTTAAAGGTTTGAGCTCTTTTATCCTAACATTCTGTTGTGCCTGTCCTTCAACATTTTCTCTATACCAGCATTTAAAATAGATGTTTGTGAGTGGATGGAACAGGAGCAAGGTTTTAATAATTGGTTTTAATAATTAGGTATGATTGGAGGGTTTTAATAATCTTACTTCAAATATTTCTGTGTTCATACTCCCCACTGCCCCAGCGTTCTGTGTACCCAAAGGGGGGCTGCCAAGGTGGTGAAGGTGCAGAGGGGAAGCCGTATGAGGAGCATTTGAGGTCACTTGGTCTGTTCAGCCTGGAGAAGAGACTGAGGGGAGACCTCATCGCAGTCTACAGCTTCCTGATGAGGGGAAGCAGAGGGGCAAGCAGTGACCTCTTCTCTCTGATGACCAGTGACAGGACCCAGGGAATGGCCTGAGGCTTTATCAGGGAAGGTTGATCAGGAGAATGTTCCTTACCCAGAGGGTGGTTGGCACTGGAACAGGCTCCCCAGTGCTGGTGTGTCAGCACCAGCCTGACATAGTTTAAACATGTGTTCAGGCACATGGTAGGTTTCTTGGGGCTGTCCTGTGCAGGGCCAAGAGCTAGACTTGATGATCCTTTCAACTCAGCTTATTCTGTGAGTCTATATAAACATCCTCTGAAAACTCACCATACCAAAACCAATAGTTAAAACTTAGTTATCTTGCAATAAAAGTGCCTTAGCACTTTAGTTACAGAATGAAATTGAAAGAATTAGGAAAGTATTTCAGTTCAACTTTAATGCTGTACTTCTAAAGAATAACTTGGATCACAGGTTTGTTTCTTCAATTTGTGAAGTGAAAAGCAAAGGGATTAAATAACTACAGTTTCAGGCAAGATGTATCTAAGGAAGATCAAATCTAAAATCACACTGATTTGTTATTCAAGTGTTTCTAAAACAAAAATCCTCTTCCTTTTTAAAGTATAGATGGACATTGTAAAGTCTTGTGTGTCATGCATGAAAATTGGCTTGAAATAATGGGCATAATTTTTTTGCCAAATTCTCAACATGCCAATTAATGTTATTTTTAACTTCTCTTTTAGAAACCTAACTTCTAAATACTTAAGAAGTGATTTCCTCTGGATTTTGGAACAAAATTGGTATGTATAATGAGCCTTCTACAGGCTCATCACTGAACATTTGGATTTCTGTTTTGTTAGGGAATGTTTGTTTCATGTAGTTTTATGCTTGTGGAAAGGAACAAGGGAACACATAATAGTGAACATGACACATAATAGTCAATGTGAATTTGTCAGAGCAACTTGTTGATTCAACCCCGTTTTCTCCCATGACAAGCCTTATGGCTAAAAGGGCATTAAGTAGGTGCTTAATTCCAATGTTAGAAACATAAAACTTCTAATGGAGCTCAAGTAAATAAGCAGAATTGACAATAAAGTATCACAGAACAGTTCAAAAGATGCAGAATGGCTGTACTTAGAGTATTATTGTCTTACCAAAGCAGGCTTTTGTTTAAAAATCTTCCATAGTGTCTGAATCTTTGGCTGTTTAATGTTATTGATCTGGCTCAAAAGACAAAGAAATAATCAATAACATTGGGCAGGGAAGGATTGCCAGTGTGTAACCTTGGTTGAATGTTTTCAGCAAACATTTCTAAAAAGAGTGATGTTTTTTGGAGTAAATGGAAGATATTACACCCAGGCAGGAGTAATTTGCTATACAAATGCAGGAAGTTACACTAATAAAGAAGTTGAAAATGAGTCAACAGTAGATGAATGCAGAAAAAAGGCTAAATACTCACCTGTTTTGGTGTTTAGAAAGAAATACAGTCTACCATTGTATTGCAGAAGTGATAATAACTCAAGCTAAAGTGCTGTATGCAGCTTTGGAAATTGCACTTGAAAAAAGTTGGGAAAGGACCCAGAGGGTGGCACAGCAGGAGGTGCCAAGCACCTAACCTGCAGAGTAATGCTGATACGTGGATGCAAAGATAAAGGGACTTGCATCTTTTTCCAGCAATGGGATTTGGTAGTGAAAGTGAAGATGATTAAATAATGAGAGTTCCTAATGGCATCAAAGCATAGCTGTCATGTTTCTGAAGTTTCCTTTGCACGTATTTCATCGGAGAAGCTTGGCTGAATTATCTATAAAGAGGAGCAGCAGTGAATTATGTAGAACATGGTTGAAGTAAATGGCCTGGTAAAGTCATTTTTTGCTTAATGGCATTATCCTGATCATAGTTGATAAGAGCAGGTTTTAGAAAAGATCCTTGAATTTAAATAATTTAGTGTATATTTACACTAAATTTTCTTGTAAGTCTTTCAAAGACTGTCTACTGAACTCTAGAAGGCTTGTGGCCAAGTAAGCAAAGTTGGAACAATGTACCCTGTCTGCCTTTCCAGCTCTAATTATTGCTTCCATACAACCTACAGCTTGTGGAAGTGATACTAATTTTCTTTGGCTGGTAACTCCCACATTCTTACTTATGCTTATTTGCTTTTAAATGTAAAATATTACTTCTCATTACACCACTTTTAATGTTTCTGAATATTTAGAGAGCTCACTTGCTACAATAAATGTAACATCTTTTGAGCACTGTGTTTGTGCTGCTTTTGAGAGAAAACAACTTCTGAACAAAGAGACAAAGAAGTGTGTTACCCTGTGTTTTGGACCAGAGAGTCTGTATCTTGCTAGCATTTGTGATACATTTGGTTACATCTTGAAAATAACAAAAAAAACTTGGTGGCTAATCTGGATATGCTTATCTCCCACAGTTTTTTTTCCACATTCTGAGTTTCTCCATCCCTCCCTGTCTGATAACCTTCAAATCCCTGTGCAGTGTGTCATTGCACTGTTGCGCACTGGGAGTTATGACTCATGACACCAGCAGATCCACAGGCAGTTCATTAATGAGTGGCTCTTGGAGGCGTGGTAGATGTTGTAGCTTCTGTGAATAGGAGAGTCTCAGCCCTTCATTACTTCTCTGAAATCAGAGCAGGAAACTACTACTCCTCCTCCATGACACTGCTGGTCTTGGGTGGATGAAGTGTTCTATGTGTTAAAATCAGCTTGAACTTGATTAGAGAGCCTTTGCAGAACGGCACGACTGCCAGCTGTATTTAGCTCCTACATTTTCTGGCTTTTCTCTGTTTATAACCTAGTAGTGGCCCTGGCTGCTGGAATGCAACAGCTTTGGCACGTCCCAAGGCAGAAACATGAGAGGCGTTATTTATTCCAGAAACTGCTCGTTTCTTGTGTAGAACATTTTTTTTTCTCATACCCATAGATAATTTTTCTTGATTATATTTATGAGCATGCATTAGTTCTTCTTTTATTAAGTCTTAGAGTTAGAATTAAAGTCCTGATTTCCTAAAGTGTAAAACTTCCAGCGCTTGGTACTGCTTTGACCTTGCACGTGTCAGTTCTACACATGCAAAATATATCTGTGCTGTATACAGAGGGAAGCTGGGTCCACCATGACATTTGTCTGCAACTGTAGACATCTGAATAAACCTTAGGTGGAAATAAGACAGTCCATCCCAAGCAGATAATGGGACTGGCTATGTCTGTGAGGACAAATCAACTTGATGGTAAGAGCTAGCAGTAATTTATCTGAATTTATGTGATTGAAGTGGTTGAGATTTGAGTTATTTACAAGGTTAACAAAGTGGTTGACAGGACACTTCAGTGTATTTGGGACATGGGAGAAAGTAGAAATACTAGTTCTAAAGTGTAGCATCCTTCTCAAGTCTACATTTGTAAAATTACCTGTGAGCACACAAGTTTTCTCATTCTTCTGCAATCAAATTCTTCCTCTGCTGCAAAGAAAAGCAGCCTGTGCTTCTCCCTTGTTTCTGGAATGCAGTGGGTGGAAGGTGTCAGGATGGGACTAACTGATGCTCTTTTCCTCTGTCAGTGTAGGTGAAGGTATGCAAGCCAGGGAGAAAAGAATAGGAAAATAAAAAAAGTGGCTTTGCCAATATGGAGAATTGTCTTTTAGTAAACAGTTACACCAGTAAAAATAATCCCATTAGCAATATAGCTAAAGTAGCAACTGTTGAAAAAAACAGTGAAGTATAAAGCTTAGCCAAACCATCCCCTCCCCAGGTGCACCTCCCCCAGGTGCTGCTATACCACTGTCACATTTTGCACCAGCTGGAGTTGGAAGAACATTCTTAGCTCAATTACCTGAACAGAGTGCCTTACACCTGCTGGAACAGATGGTGGAGAGAACAGTTGCAAAAATCTTGTATTTTCCTTGCATTAAAAACTTCTTCAAGGGACTGAGAGTCCTGTTTGAATCCAAAACCAGGATGATATTTTATGCAGTTGGTGGGGTGGCTGGGTTTTCGCATGCACTGATGATTTGTCTTTCTTGGTTTTGTTTGACAGGTGGTTTTTGTATCATGTGAGAATCTAGTTTCTTTTAAAAAGTTTCTAGAAAGTGAAAGCACTCTCTTGTAGGTCATTTACTTAGTTTATCCTACAGCATAAGATATTAAAAATTACTGTGCAAGGATTAAGGGAAATGGATTTTAGAATTTTGAACTGTGCAGCATTTGAAGCAGCGTTATGTTGAGTGCATACTGTTGTCCTCTACTTTTTCACAGCCTAACTGGATGCAAGTGAGAGGATCTGTGTTTGGTTTTAATGCTAACCTACCAGTAGCTCTCTATTAGGTTTTCCTAGAGGTATAGCAAACTAACCAAAGTTGAAAGCATAAAAGTACAGGGAAAAGTAATATTGAAAGGTACTTCATACAAGTATGGAAAACTGTGTAAAATAAATTAACAAAGGCCTTATTTCTTGCCAGATTTTTCCTGTTAAAGAGTAATTGCATGTGTGTGCATGTGAGGTTTGTTTGTATTCTGAAGATGGCTCTATGATTAAACATCCTTGTTATATTCTCTTGCATTTTTCTAGTGAGTTTATATGGAAGAAATGCTGCGACTGTTCTCAAACTCTATTACAGACTGATTTCAATGTAAGTAATTTTTTGATCAGTAGCATCAGTTACATGGTTTGCCACAGATTTGCATACTCAATGAAAAGAAAAATAAATGACATATTTGTAAAATTTCACTAAAGTTTCTCAAAGAATTTCTGTTTGTTTGGGTTTCAGTTTTTATACACCAGGTCAGAAACCCTTCCTTCTTTGTGTTCAGACTGGTTAGTTACTCATCCTTAGTGCAAGCTTACACATGCTTCAGATTGCCTGTTTTTTGGTTTTTTTTTTTTGTTACCCACTCTTAGCAGAGGCCACTTGCAGGAAAACCAGTCACGTGAGCTGTTGAGGATTTTCCTATACAGCACCTATTCCTACCATAATTCTAATGTGTTTGTTTTACTCATATTTCAGTGTTGCATCATATTTTGTTGAGTAACAGAAGTTCTACTCCTTATTGATCAATGTGACAGTGTTCAGTAGTTTACGAGATGAGCCAAACTCGTGGGAAGTATGACTTCTGTATTGGTCTGGTGTTGGCTATGAGTTCCAGCATTTTCATTGGAGGAAGTTTCATCCTGAAAAAGAAAGGTCTCCTCCGGTTAGCCAGGAAAGGCTCCATGAGAGCAGGTAAATACATACATCTTTTAATAAATTGCTGATGTTTAGATTTTGCTGTTTAACAGAAGATTACTTCTGTTCATTAGTTCATTAAACTACTTATCTTGTTTTCTCTTTTTTGGGATTTTGTTGCATGCATATAAAACCTAAAACACAGAGCTGGTGTGTTTTTTCTCTGGTGTCAGACACCCTTAACTCTGTGTGACACATGCTATTTAATGCATATGTAATGCCTTCTGGGGACACTTGTCAAAGGATTCCTTTGTATGTCAGTTAAGTCTAAGTTGCATTTGCAAATTGAACTTGCAAGCAGCACTGTTAACTACATCTGTGCTCCTGAATGAGTGAATTTAAGACTGTTAACTGGTTTTGGGTGTCAGGAGATTCTTTTAGAAAACTAAAAATTACATGTAGTAACTGAGTGTGATGAGTTTTGTGCCTCAAGCATTCATACTGGAAGCAATGCTATTAAATACCCTCATCAGTGATACAGACAGTGGGATTGACTGAGTGTGCTGGCAGTGGGTTTGTGGAGCACACCGAGCTGAGGGGGGCAGATGATGCTCTAGAGCGAAGGAAGTGGCATCCAGAGGGACCAGGATGGGCTTGAGGAGTGGGTCTGTGCAAACCTTATGAGACTCAAGAAGAAGAACCAGAGCAAGGTGCTGCACCTGTATCAGGGCAACCTCTGGTATCAACACAAAACTGGGGATGGACAGATGGAGAGCAGCCCTGCCCAGAAGGGCCTGGGGGTGCTGGTGGATGAGAGGCTGGACATGACCCCGCAATGTGCAGCCCAGAAAGCCAAACATGTCCAAATCAGGTGTGACCAGCAGGGCAAGGGAGGGGATTCTTCCCCTTTGCTCTCCTCTGCTCTGCTCCTCTGCTCTGCTCTGGTGAGACCCCACCTGCAGTGCTGTTCCAGCTCCAGGATCCCCCGTGTGGGAAGGACATGGACCTGTTACAGCAAGTCCAGAGAAGGGCCATGAGAGTGGTAAAAGAGACAAAACACTTCTGAGGATAGGCTGATGGAGTTGGGATTGTTCAGCTTAGAGGAGAAAAGGGTCTTGAGACACCTTATAGCACCTTCCAATACCTAAAGGGGGCTTATAAAAAAGAGAGATTGTTTTGTTTTGTTTTGTTTTTTAACCAGTGCTGCATTGACAGGACAAGGGACAATGGTTTTAAATTGAAAGACAATTAAGATTTAGATAGGAAAGTTGCAGCATCCTCAGATGATTCAGAAGGTTTACTCTGAATATTTTCATTCAGTACCTGTCATCTCTGCTTCTGAAAGTTGGTTGATCTTGAGATACATAATTCATGCACCCTGGTTTGGAATGAGAAAATGTGATGTTTGCACATGTAATAAACCACATATAAACCATGCACAATTTTTGCAGAGCAGCAGTCTTAGTAAGAGACACAACTTGGCTTTTCATGTAATTTCAAGCTTTGAAAGAACTGTTTCTCAGGGTAATGCAGATATCATCAGTGCCATTCTAATACAAAAGAAATAAAATAGCTGGTTATCAAAATAGGCTGTAGGAGGCACAGGCACATCAGAAATTGAAGATGCTTTGATTTCAACCCTTCTACCTACAGAGCCTAGGTATCAAAAGGCTGCTCATGTTTTTAAGAGCATGGGTTGCAAAAATGATTTTATGTCATGGCAGTGTTACTAGTGACAGGGTGTCAGTGTTTTTAGTGGAATAGCCAATCTTCTTTCAATTTTAGGTCAAGGTGGTCATGCATACCTTAAGGAATGGCTGTGGTGGGCTGGACTTCTTTCAAGTAAGTATCAAAAATTATTCATGTACGTGTCAAAAATACAATCTGCATTATATAATTTTAATAAATAACGATGCCACAGATGCAGCATGGTTACAAAAAAGGGAATGAGACTGGGATTCTACAATACATGATAATGTTACCTGGTGATTTGATGGATGCAGTTCTAATGATTTTAATATAACTTCTCTCACACCAGAAATTCTTCCTTTAAGGTAACTGCCCTCTTTGTGCAGCAGAACTAGGCAGATGCTGGTTTTGTATGTCTTTGCTATCTATATGCACTCTGGTTTTTGTCTTAGCAGAGAAGTGCTTAGATATATAGGATTTCTTAAAGGGAAGCATATATTGGGATTATGCCTGTTTTCTGAATTTTTTTCATTGCTTGAACTCTCACCTTACTGGCTGTATTCAGGTAATTATAGCTTACTGTATGTTCTGTGCTATATCCTGCTATTGCCAGTTTCTCCATGCAGAACTTCATGAGTCAAGCTGGCAGGCTGGGGAGCTACAGCACAGACACTAAAATGAAGCAAGTTCTGATTTGGTAGAATTAATTCTAATACCTGTTGTAGTTCCACAGCCAGCTTTTAAAATTTAATAGCGGGGAAGAGAGGCAGGGGTGTATTCTGCTAGTACTGTTAGCTGAATGCCATCATTAGAATTTTGCATTGTTCTCTTGCTGCATGTTTGTGTTTACATGAACACTTTCCCTGGATCAGAGGTTTGTTGCATGAGACAGCCTAACTCCTGGGTTTTAATTCCTGTTCCTCTGCAGTGGGAGCTGGAGAAGTAGCGAACTTTGCTGCCTATGCTTTTGCACCAGCTACGTTAGTGACTCCTCTAGGAGCTCTCAGTGTTCTTGTAAGGTAAGAAACACTAACAGAAAGCAGTGTGACTTGAGAGAACAGTAAAACTTTCATTAGAAATATGTCACTGAACTATGCTGTAATAAATGGGCTTTGTTCTTCACAATAGAGTGCTTATAAACATCAGGAGTAACTTTTAAGTTTCTCCAAATACCTAGTGGCTATGATATAAAAGGGTTCTAGCAATGTATCTATATGTCCATCTCTGAGAAGCTATTCTGCATTTCAAAAACATGGTGATCGCAGCGGAGCAGTATTTTCATTCCTAAGGAAAGATTTTTGTCTTTCTAAAATTATTTTTTGTAGGTTCTTAGATAGACCATTTTTTTGGCAGGCAACATGTAAAACGGGTTCTGGGCAGAGGCCAAATATTAACAGTAGTTCTGTCCATGGCAAGTATCTCAAGATAGAAAATAGCTATTTTTAAGCTGCAGATTGTGTATGCATGTTACAGAACAACCTGTAACTTGGTGAGTAAATGAATATTGCTAATCCCATGTTTCTTGGTGCTTTTTTTATTTCTTAGTGCCATTCTGTCATCCTTCTTTTTAAATGAAAAACTTAATTTACATGGAAAAATAGGATGTTTGTTAAGTATACTGGGATCAACTGTGATGGTAATTCATGCTCCACAAGAGGAAGAAGTAGAAACTTTGGATGAAATGTCTCACAAACTAGGTGATCCAGGTAAGAAAAATGCCAGCTTGATATATACAGAGCCCATCATTTCTTCATTTAATAGTTTCATTACTGCTGCTTTCAAGTTCCAGGAAGATGGCCTGTGTCTATTTGTTCTCCAAATGAAGCAGAGATTTGAATTCTGTAACATGATTCCATAGGGAACTTTGCATGATGCCGATGAACTTGTCCGGCCCTGAATAAAGTGCCTTGATGGCAACCACTGAGGTGACTGTTTAAGCAAATGCAGCAGCACAGGTGGATAAACAAAACTTCCATAAATTTTGATTAAATTGTGTCATCTCCAAGAGCAACTTTTACCTGTCCTTAAAATAAAAAGGCAGGTATTTTGGTGTCTGCTGAGAAGTGAAGTCCTATAGATGAGCTGCTATGCCTATGTGGAAGAAGAGGCACTCACAAATGCACATCTGCAAAATACTACTTAGGCAATTTTCATCTTAAACATGAGGAAATAGTCAGCACAGAGATTAAAAAGCTATTCTCAAGGAATGACCTGATCATTGGAAATCTGCTGATGAATACAGCCATCTACCAAAATGTCTCCTAAAAAAGACTCAATTCAGACTCAGATCTGTGTCTGGTGGCATCTGCACCTCAGTGAGTCTGGGTGTAAGGCAGTTTAGCAATCTATTCCTGTCTTGCCAATAGACTGGTAAAGGTAATACAGCATGCCTGAGGTACTTCCTTTGTTTTGGCTTGCTCAATCTAAAATAATCTAAACTGTGATGTTGGAGGAAGAATGAGAAACATCCTGAACTCTTCTGTTTAAGCTGAGTTGGTCCTCTTGTTAATGGGTGTTTTCCTTGCACCCATAAGTACCCATGCTGCTGATAAATAGAGTCCATAAGTAACAAGTGTGTCCATTAGTGTCTATAAATAACAAGATTTTTTTTCCCCCCACCACAGGTTTTGTGGTCTTCGCAACGCTGGTTGTCATTGTGTCTTTAATCCTAATATGTGTGGTGGGACCTCGCCATGGACAGACCAACATTCTCGTGTACATAACAATTTGCTCTGTAATTGGAGCCTTATCAGTCTCCTGTGTCAAAGGTCTGGGCATCGCTATAAAGGAACTTTTTGCAGGAAAACCAGTGCTGAAACATCCCTTGTCTTGGATTCTGCTGCTAAGCCTTACTGTCTGTGTGAGCACGCAGATCAACTATTTAAACAGGGCTCTGGATATATTCAACACTTCAATAGTGACTCCAATATATTATGTAATCTTTACAACATCTGTTTTAACTTGTTCTGCCATCCTTTTCAAGGAATGGCAACACATGGCGGCCGATGACATTATCGGCACCTTCAGCGGCTTCCTGACTATTATTGTGGGGATCTTTTTATTGCATGCCTTCAAAGATGTTAACTTCACCCTAGCAAACCTGCCCCTCTCTCTGCGGAAGGATGATAGAGCAGCAAATGGCACTCTGCTGAGCACATATGACAGCTTTAATGATGATGAAGAAAGTTCTGCCTGCCTAGGTGAAATGCAATCCAGTGAGAGTCTCTCAGCCAGGAGAAATGGGAGCCTGTCAGCTTTCTGAAAATATCTACGTGTTACTTAAGAAAAGAACAATTCTGTAACCCTGGAATTTTTTTTTTTCTGCTGTGAAATGTCTGAGCTTGTCTGGAAATTCATGTACTTTTTAACAGTATGTGTAGACAATCGTTGATTTTTGAGTTCAATTAGTTTGGATAAAGAACACTGAAATGTTTTTTATTTGCCTTATTTTTACTTTAAAAAGTACTAAAATGACCTCAGACCACAAATGGTTTTGTTGCTTAAGTTATGTGTAAATACTTTCATTTCATTCTTCTGTTTTTAAGATGTATTGCACTAATTACAATTTTATCAAAAATAAATGGCTTTATTTCTGCATTGGTGGTAAAAAGGTTGCAGTGAACCTGGATCCTTTGTACTTGTGCCCCAATTGACCATGGAGTGACTGTAACCATATTGAAACAGGAGCTGCAGCAACTACTCCTGTCCTAGTTTGTAAAAGAGAAAAGGGAAGGCTACAACCAAGCACGACTGATCCTTCAAAAATACTGGTTAGGTAAAGCTGTGTGCAAAACTTGCTGGATTTGCACGAAAAAAGCCCAACTCTACCAAATCAGAGTAACTGGCTGGCAGAAACAGGAAGGCAGGATCTGTGCTCTGCATGGATAGGTGAGATAGTACCTTCTGCCATGACAATTTATGCAGAAGGAAGGATGTGAATCATTACTAATAGTTAAAAAGCTGCTCCCTCTTCTGTAACAGAGGTCAGGTTCTGTCTGTGCTGCACCATGCTGCCCTGGCTCTGCAGACTTATTCCCTGCTCCTGATGTTACAGCTTGAACTACAGAATTGCTATTTTGTTTGCAGCAACACAGGCACTGGCTGCAACACTGAGTTTTTCAAAAAGAGCCCAAAAAATTCAACATTAATGACATTGCTTAAAAAACAAAAAAGGGTAGGGGTGAGGCAGGTAGGTGGTAATTCACTTTTGTAAAGTCAGGAAATAAAAATTAGGGAAGGTTTTTATAAACTTTCTACCATGCATGTGAAAGTTGGAAATACTTGGGACAGATACTGATTAGTTACTGCTGGATGTTGTTAGGTTTAGTGCTTAGTGTTTAAGAGAAATTAAGATATTTTTTTTCCTAGAACAGAAAAAAAAAACAAGTTACCACCTGTGAAACAAAATTCTGCTGCCTTCCTTTGGTAGGAGTCACAACACACAGGAGAGGTGAAGGTGTCAAACAAGAAAAAGGTTTTTAATAAGAACTAATTGGAAATTAATAAGTTCCACCTTTTGTGCACCTTGCTGCATTTTTCCTTTTAGGTAGGAAAGGTTATACCAGGCAAAGAATATTTAGTTTCTATCAAGTCTATAATCCTTCTTTAAAAAATAATAAAAATTTGTGTTATAAAAATGGGAAACAAACATCTCCTAGGACTAATGTCTGAATTGTCCAAAATTGAAACTGTTTTTCCCACAGTGACCATAAAGTGTGTATTTAATAGTAACTTTATGATGTTAAGAGACCAATTCTCTTACTGCTGAAAGTTAACTGGTAAGAATTAGAAATTATTCACATCATGATTAGTTATTTTTAAATAGTTCTTAAACCAAAAATCAGGCATTATTAATTAACCCTTTCTGCAGCAGTGCAGAGCCAAAGCCTCAGGCGTGTGAGATATCCTTAAACCAATGATGATGTCAGCAAATATGAAAGTTGTTTATTTGCTTAACAGAAGCTGTAAGCACAGGGAAGCATCCGGCTGACCAAAAGTCTTCTGTGAACTCAAAGACTATTTCTTAAAGAAAATCATCTGTTAAACACCTTGTAAGAGAAATCCTGCAATAAGCTGGTGTAACAAAGCACAAATGCCTCTGACTTCTGTCTCCCACGCACCGGGCAGCCTTGTGTGCACCCTCACCATGACAGACACCACTCCAGAATGGCAGCTCTCAAGCACAGATGTCCTAGGGAAACCTGTGATTGTGGAAATTTGCTGATAGAGTGCCTGGAAAATCTCCATCCTGTTTTGCTGAGGAAATTTCAGTTAACTTCTTTCCTCAAAATGGAGTTCTGTGCCACTCCAATACCTACATATTCCTCACTTCCTGTGTACCTCTTCTGTCAGATGCTCATTTCTACCCACTGTTGGAGTCAGTTCGTGGCTGTGAAGCACCTGGAAAGAGCTGACTGGGAGAAAAGATGTACTGTAACCTAACCATGAACAAGTAGGAGGAAAGGAAAAAAGACAGGTTCTCAAAGGGATGCATTCTTGGTTTCACACTATGGGTCAGAAACACTAACCGAGTAACATCTCCATGAATCCATATCCTGGGTGAAACACATCATCTGTTCTGGCCATCTTAACATCTTAGTTAGGGCTGATCCCAAAGCCAGCTGTCAAACTGACAGAATCCTGGAGTAAGCAAGCAGGAGTTACTACTTTTGGCTGAATAGTTTGCTTTAAAATTCAACTTCTATTGCAAAGTTTTACAATTTTACCGATGCAGTGTTTGCATTATACAGCAAGTGAAATTTAGCAAATACTTTCCATAATAAATCATGATTAACATCACTAGAGTTTATGTACTGGGATGGGTTACACCTGTAATGGATGGATCACTGTAGTCAAGATTCTCATAAACAAGAATTCCTCATCACTTGTAAACATGTTTGGGTATGCAGGTATGTACTGCAAACCAATATATAAACTGTGTTAGAAGCTCTCATTAGGAAAGAGTAAACAGTCCCCATTCTAATCAAACTTCCACCTTTTAAAAAGATCAGAATCCTATTGGGCACCTCCATGTTAAATAACTTTGAAACAAACACTTTAAATAGCCTTCATTTCCATAATTACTGATCTCTGAGAAGAGTTTTGCAAAGAGGAAGAAGAATCAACTAACTAGAAAATTATTCACAAAGCACCAGCAGAGTTGTTTTCTTTTGTGGTTTTTTTTTCTCTTTTTTTTTAATAAAGGCAAATTAAGCAATTAAGGCTCTAATACAAACAATTATGCATTGATTTCTAAAAATTTTTTCTACAGAACCGTTTTTTATCCTCCACAGCCATTATTTCTATAGCTTCAGGGGAAAATTATACCAGTCCAGTCTAAAATGGCCATCTCGGGACAGGAATGCAAAGAGATTCCAAAAATCTTACAGGATTTTAATCAAAGTGTATAAAATTTTAGTCTAGAAAAATAAGTATGGATTGTATACAGTTACTGTGCTTGGAAACTGGAGAGAACACTGTGCCCCTCAAATGGCACAGGCATACTGAAAAACACAGATGAGAGTATTCTTTAAAACTGTTGGTGTGGGTTTTGTTTCTTGCTTTTTTTTTTCTCACACTTTCAGCCTAAAGAGGTGCAAAAAGTATTGTTAGGTGAGAATCTAGTTGCTGGCAAGGGACTGATGAATTGGCGGCTGGAAGCAGCGCACGTGTTCCACGGGTGTGCTCTCTCCATCACCGGACTTCAAATACTTGTCCAAAATAGCAATTATTTCATCATTCAGAATCTGGAACTTGCGAATTCTCTCAACCATTTTCTTCAAAGGCTGCAAACATCAAAAGAACAGACACAGGAATTAGCTTTGGATATGAAAAATGTCAGTCAGAAAAGCAGCAAATGCCGTTACCTCACCTGTCCCAGCAATGTTACAAATGTTTCTCTTGCACTACTAAGCCAGTGAAAATCCAAGGCACATTTTGGTTTTTGACAGTGATGCTTTGGGTACAAAGAAGCTGAATTTAAGGCAGCCTTATCATTATGGGAATGAACATATATGAGAGGGAAGGCATTAAGAAAATCTCATATATTTGTGACATTAGAATTCTGTTTGACCAGTTTTCAAACTCCAGCCTTAATGCCTTTATCTTTTGTTTCTGGAAATCCTGGTGCCCTCATTTTCAGCAATTAATTCTTAAAAAAAGGATTGCCACTCTATATGAGTTGTTGTCTTTATTAGTACAGTGAATACAGATCTTTTCAACTCACCACATTCTTGATAACCTCATCTTTGCCATCATGCTTTTGGACTTTCAACAGGTGGTAGCAGAAATCCAACACATCAAAGCGCCGCTGCTGTCCCAAAAGCACGATGATCATACAGCCAGCCCAATGCAAGCCGTCCCCAAAGCACTGCCTGGAACAGGAAACACACCACAGAGCAGGTTTCAACTACATTTTCAAAACAGTCACAGCAAACACGTGGTAATCAGCCACTACGCTAAATAATATGTTAGACATTCATCTAGAAAGCAAAAGCTCGGGAATATTGATTATCATTGGAGATACCACAAGCAATTCAAATAGATGATTAACAAAAAAAACAGAACTCCCTTCCTCTTTTAATTTCACATAACAGAGTTACTCCAAAAACATTTACTGTCCATTAGACTCCTGTGGAATTACATTTCATTTTCAGTGGAAACCAGGCTTGCAAAGAAAACAAAGCAGGAATTCAACACCACTTTGCTCCTTTAGGCTGCAGGCATGAAAGGGAGTAAATGTCCTGAGCTGTTCTCTAATTGCTCAGTTAAAGGCATGTTACAGCTCAACAATTTTTCAATAAGGATATTCTCAAAACCAACAAAACCAAGAACAGTTCCTGGTTAACTTGTTAAATTCCAAGTGCTCATTCCTGCTCTTGACTTAAAGAAATACATGTTAAAACTTAGATGCACTAATATTGTGCTATTTAAGCTGGGTGTTCATAGGGGTACAGCCCCTATTGAAAGACACGTGCTAAGGCTGCTTGTCACACGATCATTCGTAATACACTGGCAATACTTAAAATAGAGGGTTATTTTCACTACAGATACAATAGCATCTGTGTTAGTGGATGATGAGCCCCTCGTGGTGATGGCAGCACTTCTCCCTGGTTTTGCACTAAGCTCTTGCAGACAGGCACACGAACGCCTCCGTTCCAGCCGCACTGTTGCCCCCAGGGGCAGCTGGCAGCACGTACTCCACAGTGAACTCGTGTGTTCCCACGGGGATGCAGTAGACGAACTGCATTGCGCTCCAGAGGCGATGGAATTCCACACACTCGTCCACATGCATCACCCCGTTGCTGGGCAGGGGTCCGCGCCAGATGGGATCATCCAGGAAGGAGCGGATCCTGGTCAGGATGACCTCAAACATGGACAGGCCGCAGCAGAGGCGTTCTTTGGTCAGCAAGTCCCCTTCCCTTGCGATTGCTATTTGCTGAAGTGGAGAGAAACAAAGCGCAAAACCCTGGTAAAAGCCACTTCACCACAAAATTTTATTTTAAAAAAATAAATACAACACATTTTTCAGTTTCACGTGGTTTATTCCAGGAGAAATGTCTTCTGACTTCAAGTGAGGTCAGACACTGCTAACCTGGGGATTGGATCAATGGAAAAACATTCAGAGAAAATGGTAAAATCCTTTTTAAGTAGACAGGCTTAAAGTGAGTAACATTAACCGCAGTAATGCTAGTCCTGGATTTATCTCAGGGAATTTTAAAGAATTCTGTGTCTGAATGGAGCCAGAAAGCAAAACCAAAGAGTTCAGTGCTCTGCTGTAGCTCTCCTGCACACCTCCCTCAGCTGCTGCTGTTAGAGATGAGAAAGCTGCAAAGAGGAGCACCAACAGGCTCAGACAAAATCCATAGGAGGCAATGCTGCTTGTCCCAGCTTGCGCCACCACACAGACAGCTCTCTCCTACTGCAGCAGCACCTACTGAACTGCAGCACCTACAATGACAACAGCAGTCTGAACTCTGCTTCAGGGCATTCTGCTCTTACTTTCTACTATTCACATCTCAACCAATAGTAAACTGCAAAGGTTAGCAAAGGGGATTAATGCACTGCTACACCGGGAGAAAGGGGAAGAGTGCTGAAGCTGCAGAGGAAGTTCAAGAATGTTCTCCTTTGGTCGTTGTTTCCAGGAGAGCTCAACTCAAATGACAGCTCATTTTCCAAGAGGTTCTAAATGGCTGAAAGAGTAACAAAATGTTTTTATATATATATATTTTTATATATATGTGTGTGTGTGTGTGTGTATGTATGTGCACAAGAACACTGAGTGCTTTCGGTGGAAATTGCAGGAGGAGCTCCCAGGCTGAACCTTACACTGGGAAGGTATCCCATGGTAAACATACATACCAATTAGCATTTTTCCCCAATTGTGTCACTTCTGGCCCAGTCTCAAATGTTTTAAATTTCTAAGCTTTAATAACTTCACCAAACTAATGGATTTAAATAAAAATAATTTGTGTGAAGCAGCTGGATGTGCAGGTTTCAGTTTGACAGAGCTATCAGGACAGGCTTTCTAAAACTCAGAAATTTCTTGAATTGCCTCTGACACAAATGAGAGAGATTACCTGGGGTGTGCCAAGTCTTTCAATGAGAGGAACCAAATGTAGTGAAGCATATTTTGATTCCAGTCTCTTCATTTTAGCATCAAGTCTTTCACCCTCTGAAAGGAAAAAGAAGTGAAGAGCGCAATTATAAATTGCAATTAACCAAGAGAATTCTTATTTTAGCACAATCTTTATCCAGTGAGGAAGAAAACAGTGTACTTTTTAGGCAATTTAAGTATTAAATAGCTGATTAATCTTTCACTTTTACAGAAATACATATTTTAAATGCTACATTACTTGTGCAAACAGAAAGAAGGATTTGTAGTAGAATACATCTAATTAACTAAATGCAAGGAAGAATGTAAGGCTCTGTTATGCTGCTGCTGCTGCCAAGATATTTGATCCCCACTTGTACTGAGACAACTAAGTTGTCTTTACACATAAAATGTTTATCTCTAGAAGGTGAGGTAAAATGAGGATGGAGTCATGTGTACAGCAAGGCCAAAAAGCAGCTGGCAGTTCCTCAGCACTGGCAAGTAAGAAATGTTCTCTGGAAATGGGAAAATACCATTTGTAATGGTCTGGTTAGTTTTATGTAAAATGCAAGCAGCTACTGTGAGCTTGGAAATATTCTCTGAGTTTTGTAGCTGATGGGATTTCTCCAAGCAGAACAAATCAGCTGCTCCAGCAATGAGAAATGGAAAAGGAAGGAGACAGAGGTGAAACACAAAGGAAGAGCAAGAGGGATGGGGGAATAGCTCACTTTCTGATGATGAAAGATGAGGAGAGCAGATACCATAGGAAGCAATCCTGCAAATATTCAGTACTGCATACTCAGTTTAGTGAAAAGGAAATGAAAAATCTACAGGGACCACTTTTATTTACTTACTTGCTGACAGACTCCCTACACCACATTTAACTGACAATTCTATAAGCTAAATAGCAGCTTCCAAAAAGCCTCTCACTATATATCCACAAAGCAGGATAATGTTGTCCTGGGCATTCATCCTGCTTTTCCCTGTCTACGGCATTCCTCCTCTTCCCCTTGTAATTTGCACAGAACATCGCCAGGAAACATTTGTTTTTTCAGCCAGGCAAACAGGCCTGGATCTGATACCTTTGTCCTGCAATTACCAGTGCTGTGGTAAAGGGTGGCTGGAGGTGGTTACTGAAACCACAGCAGCAGGAAGGAAAAGGGGAACGCATTACCCAAGGAAGGTATTTTCACTTTGCCGATACCTTTGACGTGAACCCTGGGCAGGATGTTTTGGAATGGCGCTGCGTGCAACAGGTCACACACTTCCTCTAGAGACTGGGACAAAAAGAAAACGAGAGGCATTTAGGACAGAAGCATCAATCCCCAAACCACACCAGACCCCTACAACAGGATTCCAAACGCTGGCCGATGCCACTGCAGAAACACCAGAGGGCAGGCAGCCTCTGTCACCACGGCAGCGAGCCGCTCCGAGCCCTGCCTCTCCTCATGGATCCCTCCCAAAGACCACTCCATTTCACCAGGGTACTCTGAACTCCCAAATAAACTCCAGCAACTCCCCTCCGACCCTCGGCTGGCAGTTCATAAAGGGCAGGGTATTTATTAAATGAACTAATGCAGAATGAGTAATTTTGGTGGGAAAGTGGCAGACTGCTCCGAAGAGACAAAAAGGGGAAGAAGATGACTCACTGCTTGGTTATTTTTACTAGAGCCACAACCCATTATCCTAATGGGAGCGTCTCCCTGCCAGGCAGGCAGAGACTTATGACAGCAGTGGAGAATCACGTCTTAGGAAATATTTTACATCTTTAGGGACAGGGGAAAGGAAGGCAGATGTCTCCTGTTTCTTTGCTCCTGTCTGTACACACAGGAAAAATGAAGAGATGACCAGAAGCAGATGCATGACTTTGCTACGACCCTCTCCTCATTTTTGAAGCAGAGACCCTACTAATTTGTAATCCCTCAACACTAATATTAGAAAAATTGGTCATCCTCCATATTTTTAGCAAGGCTAGGGTGCTGGGGCTCATGTGCCTTTTCCAGGTCTAATTCCTTGATGTCAACCAGGGAAATGTGTGTTAGGCAGTCAGGATGAACAAGACCCAACCACTATCACAGATATACTCAGAATTACACTTTGCACTGTGTTGAAACCTAGGTTAGTTATGAGGGATGACCACAGTGGAATACTGAAATACATGACAGGACATGGGGGCCTGACTGAGGACAAAAACAAGAGAGGCAGTGAGCACAGGTGTGTGACTGGAAAGGGTAACCTTGGTGGTGTCCCACAGAAGGCACCTCCATGCTGGTGTCACTCTGGTACACCCTCAGTCCTCCCAAGAGGGAGGACTTGCCTGTCTGGCCTTTCACCATGCACAAACTCTGAATCCAAAACAATCCAGCTTCTCTCATCTTGTTACAGCTGCGCCATTACTGACTACAGGTATGCTGCTTGTCACCCGGCCCTACAACTACTCTCTGCCGTGAGGGAGGGATCCTATAGCATCATGAGCAGGAACCCTGAGGAACAGCATGTCTTCATTACCTTATCTAACACCAACAGCTTTAATACCCCCTAGGGAAGCCTTCTGTGAGGGTTTATTTTTGTCCAACAGCAGGCCCCCAGCCAGCTTGCTGAGGAAATGACGTGGCCGGTTTGCAGTCAGCAAAGATCTCTGCGTGCTCCCCAACCTCAGCAGCACTGTGAGCTTGCACAGCCTGGGCAGGGTGCCTAATGCACAGCAGGAAGAGACCCCCCAACACAACATTCAACAGCACCATGCGGGTAAAGAAAGGGAAGCCAGCATACTTGTTGCTGTTCTGATCCATTACCAGTGCCCACCCTTCTTCTGTAAGCACCCAAAAGCATTGAAAACAAAGAAATTACAGGTCTGGGCATCTTGTTTGGACAGCAAATAGCAATAACATGGAATAAGGGTGGGAAAATAAAACTGAAGGTAGGGATAAAGATCAGTTGTAGCACTGTGCCCTCAGCAGTGGGCAGGTTTACACAGTGTAAGGTAGACTCTAGATATATCAGAAGCAGCTCAAACACATCAGAAACACATTTCACAGTTTCATTCAGGCTAGGACAGATGAGTGAATTTCTGCACCACTGCCAGCCATCCAGGCAGCAAGAAGGATGTCCAAGGATGGCCACATTAACCCTGTGATGTTTCAGACCTCAACAGGAATGATATGCAGGAAAGGAATACAGCAGTACCAGATGCGCAATTCGCTGACATAAAGAGTGGCCACAATGTGACTGGCTGCAGGAGTGCCACATTAAAATATGTGATTTTAATTTATGGTGAAGGTTGCAATGTCAGATCCTCAGGTACCACGCAAGAGGCGATGTCTCTCACCCAGCAAAGTCAGGCATCACTGTATCTAACAGACATGAAAGCCCCTGCAAGACTGTAAGAGATGAGTGCAGGGAACTGTTTCTACCCATCTGCCCATCAGTAACAGCAAACTCACAGATTTCAACCTTGTTATTGATGACGTTAGTCACAAAAATATGAGAGTACATTTTGAGAGACAGATGGATTTTAAACCAGCACAGCAGGCACCTACCAGACTCTGTTCAATGAGAAGGCAAAACAGGACAGCATTTCCCACTTCCCGTAAATTCTGGAAGCAGACAGTCTTCAGTTCTGCATATTCAACAATGTCCTTCAACTGATGGTGAAAAAATTCCAAGATACCTGAAATCAGAAGAGAAGCAAAAAAAAAGTCTCAGGAGCCAGAACAAAATCTAGTGCTGACCACACAGGCACACTGTTACCTCAGGAAAGCTGACAAGATACCAGCCAGGTGAATAAGAGTAACAGAGATCAGGATTAATTTCAATTTCTGCTTCAAAAGCCCTTTTCTAGCCAATTTGTCAATTCAAAGGTTGCGCAATTTTGTATCCATACACTGTTTGAGAACACAAATAACTGAGGGTGCAGGTTTAGTGTTCTCTGTCCATGTGTCAGCACATGAGATTTTATCTCCAGACGTGCAGCCTACAGGAAATGGAAGGGAGCAGCATTTAAATGCATTAAAACTCAGAGATTATGAAGTGTTAAGCCAGTGCACTGACCTTTTTAACTAGATAAATCATGCAAAGTGGAATGCCTAACTTTTCACTCCTGGAAAAGGAACTGAGTATGAGAGGTAAGAAAAAAATACTCAGGAGCAGGAGGAGAGACTAGAGCTCTCATCTACTTTAAGTCCTGTTCCAGCCACCACTCCCCATCCTGCTGCACCACTGACACACTCAATTCACAGCTGCTGTTTTCATGGATGACAGAGCCAGAAAGGAGCAGAGAGCTCAGACACAGGGAAGAGGTGTCAGGCTATGACTCTGACAGTGCCACAGGGCCAGAGGTGCTCTGCAACCTCTCAAAGCAAATACAGAAATCACAAGTCAAGCTGTGAGGGCAAGGGTACGTCAGATCCTGCTGACAAGCACAACCAGAACAGTTTCTGTCAAAGTTTTGCAGAAGTTGTTAAAAACCAGCTAAAATTATGATTTTCAAACCCACATAGTTTATGTGTGTCTTTTTTATCAAACTTCCCCTAAACAATGGTGATGCATAACATGCTGGTGGACTTCCTGATCCTTGCCCTCTAGCCCCAGAAAGGCTGCAGAGTCCCTTGGTTAGCCCAGGAAACCACAGGCTCAGCAGCTTCTGCAGAGCCCCAGTCTGGTTACCTTTCAGAGGTTAAAGCCATGTGCAGGATGGGAGAGGAAGAGAACTACACTAGGTCAGACAGCTCTTCAGCTTTTAAAATTAATTCTTAGCATTTCTCCATCTTTCTGCACATACCTGTGCCTTCTAAAAAGCCACCAAAATACTTGACTGAGAAGAAAATGTATAATAAAAAGTGTTCAAACTGCATGCGGCACATGGCAGTGGCAGTTCATTCCCACTACACTGAATCAAGCCAGATAAATCTCCACCCAACTACACCTAAACCAATTGAGAGAAGACAAGGAAAGAGAACATAGATGCCCTTCAGCACCTTCCCATGAATTCCTTTGACACAACTGAAGAACACTTCTCATGCAGAAGATCATACTTGGCTAACTACCCAATGAGGCAATGGCTGGAGGGAATTTCACAAACATGAAATCCAGCCTGCAGCATATCTCTTGCAAGGAAATTCCTCAAGTTCAGCAGAAACTTGAAAACATACAATGAAGGAAAGAATTACATAGGTAACCTACACACTTCTACAGAAAGCCTCACATCATTCTGTTACATCTCAAAGAACTCTTTGTCAATAGAAAATTAACAGTAAATGAGTGTTCCCACATGTATTCAGTGGAGGTGAATTTCAGTCCTAACTTTAGTACTTTGGTGACTTGAAAGAAAAACAGAACTGAAAAACAAGCGAGTGCTTGCTGAGTTTAATTTATTCCATGGTAACACATTTACAACTAGCTAAAAAGCAAACAATGCCAGCACATCACCAATTCCCACCTCCCCACAAAACAGGGACTGTGGAATGGAAAAGCTGTGGGAAAGGCTGTCAGAATTCATTGAACACTGCAGGATACCAGCCAGTGACAATCCCCAGGTGGGTGAGGAGCAGTGAACACTTGTGTTTGTCATTTAAACACACCTGCCCACCGTGGCAATGGGATGCTGCAGTGCTGAATGCTGGGACTCCCATTTTAAAGATGAGACTGAAAAGGTTGAAAATTTTTCCTCAAAAAGTTTTTGATGCTAGAAAGAAAATGGTAAGTTAGGGAACTGAAATCAGCTTTATCACAAATGTCCAGTGTGTCTTAGTTACATACCCTAGTATTTATTCTGCATTTGTTGGTGAAAGGATTTCCACATCTAGAAAGAAAGGATTTCTAAGGATGAACTGCTAGAAGTCAAATACTCTCCTCATTCCAAGACTTTCTGCAAACAAAAGTCTGATGCGTTATGCTGGACTTAAGTCTGTGCCATAGAGGAAATCAAACTAGAACAATGTTTCTGGTCTCATGATCTGTGCCACATACACAGAGATTGATGGTGAACCAAGGCCTGGAAGACTCCCTGCAACACCATGAGGAACTGTAGACTTCCTCCACAGGGTCACCATGAAGAGAAAACACTATCTGAGCAAACAGGATGTTGGTGACATGCATGGTCATGACCATGCTCTTCCCTTTTAGCTTGTATGGTGGGTGGGTGGGGAGCAGCTTGGTGAAAAACAAAAGCTGAGCAGAACAGCAAGGAAGATTCTGCTGCTGCAACACAGAAAAAGACACTGGTAACGACAGGGATGGAAAAGAGTAGCGTTTTCAGACTCCACTCAATCTCCTACTATGCCTGTGGGTTTTGTGGGGAGTTTCAGAAGAAAGGCTGACATCTGGAAACACAAGAACTATTTTTTCATGGGAAGTGAAATCCTGAGAATAACCCATGTCACCTAAAGTGAATAAAAAAGAGCAGGATAGCACAGAGAGAAACCAGGAGCAGCACAGAGAGCTGTGACCAGAAACAAGGGACTCATACTGAAAGTGTGACTTGAAACCAAAATGAGACATTAAGTCTACCCAAAAGCAGCAGGATAGTAAAAGTCAAAGAGGCTTGAGCTTCATACTATAAAAATTACTCCAGGTGACAAGAGCTCATTTCAAAGTCCTTAACAAAGTTCCTTAATTCTTCACTCAAAGTCCCAGTCTCCATATACAGATATATAAATATGCACACCCACACACATTCATGAACAAATTGTGATATTATTTTGAAAATCTGACAGCCAGTATTTAGCATGCAGGTGTTCCAAATGCTGCCATCATTAGTGTACTTCTTCCCTTTAGATCAAGAGCTTGATTTACCAGCAAAACAGAAGAAAGTTTACAGAGCTACATGGTCTATTTCTGATGAAAGACCAATCTGCTCCCCAGTGGAGTCCTGTGGCAGAAATACATCATCATGTTTTCATTAATGTTTGAGCAATGCCATTCAAAATTGCACTTTTATGCACAGTACACAGAAGTGTATTTTTATGAAAGACTATGCATGCCTACTAAAGCCCTGGAAAAAGAACAAGTGTCTTAGGAAAGTTAATTTCACTTAATTGCCTGCAACCTTCCTTCTTCCTCTATTTCTGTTGGAGGGTGGAATTCATAAGTTACTGAGTTAGTTATATATACACAGAATTTTGCAAGGTAAATGAATCAAGGCTTTTTGTTCCTCCTCTTCCAGAAATAAGTTTTAATTAAATCCCTCTATTCCTGCAGATGGGATGACATTAGGTGTCATAGTAATTGATTATATAAACACAGTTTATGATTTACACAGATCTCAACAGAAGCAAAGATTTTTGATCTAGAATAGATCCAGTACAGAGGATTAGTAAAGGATTAGGGTCCCTCTCTGCTTCCAAAATCCTATCTCAACAGCACTCAAACAGCAGATGCCAAGTTTCAGCTGTGCAGTCTGTACGCTGATTAATTTAGTAAGTCAGAGCAAATCAACACACACAACTCAAAGCTGGTTGGATTCCTTCACTTTGGTCACCTTTCATTTCTCAATTCACACCTACAGACTGAAATCAAACATGTTTCAGAGCTTGGAACAATTTTGGTACCTAAAAGATTAGGACAAAAATGAGCTATTAATTCTAGAACTGAATCAAACAAATCAGATCTTGATTATAATTCTTGGTCTAGCTGTGTTTTGGGTTATTTTCTGCAAAGAACTGACTTTACTATTACCAAAATCTACTAATCTGCTACAGCAAAGCAAGCTCCCAAGAAACTGGGTGCTAGAATGACCTTTAGATTATATTCACTTTCATAGAGAGCTTCAGATGCTGCATCCAAATACTTCTCTGGCTCACAAGAGACATCATTAACTCTGCATATCAACAGTGATGGCATTCATTCCCTTTAATGGGAATTCATCAGGTTTAAGCACATGCACGTATCCAGGAATTATGACCATGGAGCCTGGGCACTGTGTTTATTTTGCTAGAAAGAAATATTCCATTGTTCTGTGTATCTAATGAATTCTTAATGCCCTCTTAAATCATCAAGGTGATCTGGTTTTCCCTTAAATGCTTTCAAATAGTCTGTGATGCCTTCCCAAATCTTTCTCCACTGACAGTTTCAGGAAGACCTATGAATACATTTCTTTCATCCAAAGCAGATTTAAGCCATTGTGCCCTCACTTGAATTATTCTCCCCCTTATCTGAGTTTGATCAAAAGCCTGGAATAATAGGTGGAATTACAAACCCTTCCACTATGCCCCAAGTGATGCTTCCCTGCAGCCTCCAGCCACTGCTGCCCTTCTCCATGCTTCCCAGCCCAGGCTTGCTGCAGTTCTCCTTAGATTCTGACCTGAAGTATTCCAGAAAAAGAAGGGGTGGAAGATTCTTTTTTGCCAGACTGCTGTGCAGAAACTGCTCTCATAGTGTTGCCAGCAGCATCATCAGCTCAGGGAGAGACGGGAACACAGCAGCTGATGGCACGGGGCTTTGGAGGGCTTCCCCAAACTGCCATGCCAACTCATGGGATTTCAAGAGGTCATGGCCTGGAATAACAAGTGCTTTGTCCTGCACCACCTTTGAGTGTTCTGTTTCTTTGGTTTGGTTTTGTTAATTTCTTCTTTTTTTTAAAAAAAAGAAGAAACACAGAAATATTACACTTCGGAAAAAATACACAATTTGGCTACTTTCTCATGAAGTTTATATCTTTCTAAGGTCATTGAGTTTCTAAAACGTTTATTTTGGAAGGGTGGCATACCACTTGCAAAAGCCTCATCTCACAACAGAGCTGACAAACTACTTTTTCTCATGGTATTCAACGACACTTCAGAGTGGCAGGATATTCCTTCATCAAAAGCAGAAAATACATGTTCAAATGCTCAAAAAATAACAGAAGAAAACATTATCTCCAAGATGAAATTTCAAGCTTAAACTCTTACAAAGCAAATATTCCTTGAAGAGCTTTAGCAACTTTAAAAGGTCCCTTTAAAAATCCTTATGCTTAATGTATTTTTAGACAAATATTTTTATGTCTACAAGATGAACAAGTTCCCCACTGCTTTAGACTGTTCCTATGGTAACAAACCCTTTGGCAAAGAGGAGTCCTGAACAACTCTGATGCCACTGTCTGTACCCTGCTCCTTTTAGCAGCAATAAATCACCATTTAGAAATCCACAAGTCTAGAAGGCTGATTATGTACGGAGACAAGGAGTTGCAATCAGCAAAGTCCAAACAAATCTCTCCAAATGAAAAGTCTGAAGTGCATGAAAGAGCTAGAGGCTTACTTACTGAGCGTGCTTAAATCATTTTGCAAGTGGAGAATGGACTCAGGAAATTAATTCTGAATTAATAAATGCATGTTACCTCTTGATAGATGCAAATCTACATACTTCATCTGAAGACTGTAATCACAGCTTTGGTCTGTATATGTATGTAGGTTGTGCCAGTTAAAGAAATTATTAAATTATTAGTTATGAAAGAACAGAAGCAGCAAACAGACATACCCCACAGCACTCACTCACTACTACAACTATCAACTGCTGAGGAAGCTTTTGGAGGCAGAGGAGGGAACAGACAACAGCTGGTGTGTATTGCCTTGCATTTTCTGTGACAAAACACATAAACAAGGTGTGGCAAAGACTGCTAAAGATGAGAATTTAGCACAGAAACAAGAGGACAGTGACCGAAGGAAGCACGCTTTGAGCCTGCCCTTCTACAGTCTGGCAGTTCCTCTCCCGATAAAGGCGAAAATCTACAGCACATCCTCATCACAGAACATTTTCCTTTGTCAGCCAGTGCTGTTCCAAGGGCAGACAGCTCCATCATGGGAGGTGTCAGAGCACAGGGCAGTTTTCCCTTGATGTGAGAGAGCGATGGAGGTGTCCTGATCTTCCCCAAGCCTTTTCTGTCTGGCAACTTGGAAAGCAAAGGGAGAGACGGCATGAGAGTGCTACAAAGGCTGTTTCTGCATTTCTTGGAAGAGACTCTCCAGGGGGTTATTATGTGTCCTCTGCTAGAAATAGTTCAGAACATGAAAACTCCACATGTTAAGACAAAACCTGACAGCAACAGGGTCAGTAAAGAAGCAGAGAATCAGGTGGGGTTTTGAGATCCAGTCCAATTCTAAAACTCAGTAAGATATTCCATTGTAAAACCAAGAGTTGCTCTGATCTCTTGGTACAGTAAGCATCCAAACAAATGACATTTCTTTTGGAAGAGTAAATATGAGGAGAAAATAGTGTGTTGCCATTGCACCAGTAAAGTTTTGCCTTTCCTATAGGATGGATTGTCTTTCAACCTTAAGAGAAAGATTTCTCCTAAAATCCCTGGGCATCTCCTGCCAAATATTTAGCCCTTACAGGTAAGGATTTCTGGCAAGCTTCCTTATGCCACCTGTAGCATCACAGATCCTGCTGATGCATTATCTATATTTGAGAATACCTACTGCTTTTGCAGTCAGACCTTAATGAATGGCTAAAAGCCCCAGAGAGATTATTTTTATACTCCTAACTACCATGATTCATCCATTTCTATGCTCCAGGGAGAAAAACAGGAAGGAAACACTTAGTAAGACCTCAATTTCGTTTAACATTGGTAATGAACGTCAAGCAAGCTGTGGGAAGCAGAAAAAACCCAACCTCATTCCAGTTGGAGTGGCATTTAATAAAACTAAGTAACTCTGGAAAAATAAACTTAGGAGGTGGGTGGCACATGGAAGGACTAATTTGTGTTAATTAGAAGTTGTGGAGGAGGAATATTTTGAAGGGGAAAGCAGATTCAGAATTTCAGGGAACAATGTGATAAATACTAATTAGCCAATTATTTCTCCATAGTGGCACGCAGCTTTCAATGCCATTTCTTCTTCTGCAACTGTCACACCTCCTGTTGAGAGGCTAAGATGCACCCCACACAAGCCTCAGACAAAACTTTTCTGGCAGGACCAGTTTGTCTCCCAGCACCTTTTATCCTGCATTTGGTGAGGGCAAAGGGAATAGAAGCTGTTCCAGAGAACTGGGTCATCTAAATTAGACATTTAGACAGAAAAAATGTGAGAGGCTAACTTGCTGAGACAAAAGCTCAACACGTTTATGAGAAAGATGAGAAACAGAAACTATTGTGGACATCCCATCTCAAGATCAATTGTGTTGTAAGGCTGTCTCTATATGGACTGTCATCCTTTTTCCCTACATACAGAAGTCTTAAAACTTCATTGAGTACTTTCAGAAAGCACAGCATTCAATGATTCTTTTTATGGGGAACAAAAAGGAAACTAAAAACCAAAGCCAGGTGAAAAACTGATGATCAGGAGAAAAAGGAGGGAGGGAAAGACAGATATAAGAGTTTCAGAAGACAGTGGTTAGTTTCATCTCATTAAGGCTGCTACAGTAAAACAAAAACTAACCTGGAGAACCATACTCATGTCTTGGTAACCTACAGATCTTAGGCATCACTTCCATTAGGGTCTTGACATACTGAAGAATGGTCCCTTGTAGCTAAGAGAAAACAGATGTATGCAAACATGTCAGTGCTGTTGAACTATGAAACTTTACAACAAATTGCATTCAAACTATACAAGAACCGAAGCAGCTCTAAAAATCTTGCATTTGATTCTGCCAATCATCATCTTTAAAAACGCAATCTTTTACAATCTAAAGAGTTCACATGGCATCAGCCACCTTTGTGGCATAACAGCTAAGACCAGGAAGGCAAAAAAGAGAAAAACATGTTTCTCTCTTACATACTCTTTACTGTCTAACTAACTTTTAGTTTTTTGGTTAAAAAGTTGCATTTGAATGCTTTCAAAACCATTCAAAAACCATGTGAATGTGTTCAAAAGCCACATGAAAAAAGCCCCTATGATTAGGAATGTCTGCAACATCCCAAACTGGTTCTTCTGGACATACCAGTTGAGCCAGTCCCAGCCTCCAGTCAGCCTGTCTTCCTACCACTAGATACCTCTGTTATCTGTCCCCCTACATCTAAGCATCTGCATCAGGCAGATGCCACCTTTAATGAACTGAGGCAATTTACCACTAACTTATTAAAAAAAAAACCCTCTTGTAAAACACAGCAAGCCAATACTTGACACTCAAATCCTGAAAAATATAAGTGTTCTCCTCTTTCCCTGAAGATTAAATCACAGCGCCTTTTCAAGCAGGATTCACCCTTTCTAGAACACAAAAAATGTACTTAGAACATTGTGGGAATTACTGTAAACAAACTGCCAAATGTGTCAAGTGCCTGAAGTATGATTATGAATACCACAGCTTTCCCTGGTGCAGTTGGATTATTTTGGCAGCATGCTCCTACAAGCAGCAGGGAGGAAAATATAATCTCTTTGGCTTAAATTAACTGCAATGCACTATAGCTGTATATATAGATTCTAACAGTATAGCAAACAGCCAGTGCCTCAACCTCCTCCCAGTTACAAGGAAGGCCCTTTCCAACACAGGATACCCAGGCTGTGTGGATGATGTCTTCAAAACTGGCCTGAACAGCACTGCTAATCAAGCACAGAGGTTAAACTCCTGTTGTTAAGGAGTCATGTACCAGTGGTGTCATCAACGAGAGCCCTGAAATTAGGTGCCAGGCAGAAAGCACACTACAGCTGTTCTCAAAAAGTACCAAGGAAGTGAAGGTACAGTATGGTCTTTAAGTTGAAATCAACTAATTAAAAATATTCATACTTTTCCAGAGCCTACCTAGGCCCTAACAACTCAGGTCACTATAAATTAAAATAATCTCCAATGAAGAATTCAAAGTTTCCAAAACACTGCTCAGGCCACCAAGACACCTCTTTCTCTTGCTCACACAAGACATTGAGTACTGCAAATATAGCTTATATTGAATTTCAATGGAAGTTATTTTAATTGCTTTTATCCAGGATCTCACTTTCACTTTCTTTTTCCTGAGACATTTCCTATAAGAAACCATTTGGACTAGCAGAAAAATAAAGACAATTAGCATACCAGACTCTTGACAACTTTCAGCAACTCCTCCATCACCACAGCAATGCCCTGATATCCAAGAAGTCTACAGATGACTTTAAAGTGAGGGGGACCAACAAAATTCCTGTAGTTGCTGTAAATGCTGGAATATGCCAAATTCAATGCCTAAAACAGGAAAAAAGATATGATTAATAAGAATTTTGTCTGCCTGTTTATCTCAATAATAATGTAATTTAAATATCTTTTTTAAGCTCATTAAAACTGAAACAAAAATTTTGTATTTAACGGTCTCTGAAAGAAGTTTAAATCTACAGTTTCTCTTTTGTAAGGCAGGAACTTCAACAAAAATCTCTCTATTAGCAAGACAAATTTATGAGCACTTTTTTTCAAGCAGACATCTTCCATTTATCATTTATAAAGCCACAAACACTTTCTCTTTTGTACTTATCTATTTACACAAGCATAAAAGGGTAAAAGTAGTCAATGCCATGTCTAGATCCCTGAATTTAAAGCACAGCTTCTATTCCTTTATCTTCCATTTTATGCACAGAACATCTTGAAAAAAATTATTTGAATTTTCTGTTCATAATAGGTGTTTTAAGTCTCTGAGTACTCAACTACAAAAAAAAAGCCTTCTGCAATTACTGCTCACTGCAACTCATTAATAAAGATCTTTTTCGAACTTCTTCACTGTACACAAGATAAAAGCAAATCTAAGTCTGGGATGTAACCTCATGGAAATTCTTGAAATTCTTTAGGGCTTGTATAAATAGTCAGGTTTATTTCTATGAAAGCGAAGGCTGTACAGACTGATGTGATGTGGGGATTTAGGAACCGTTTGCTGAAGCTGCAGATAAGAGAGTGTTGGCTAACTTAGCATCCTCCATTTCTGCAAGTGGGTTGTTCTCCTAATACACTGAAATTTTATTTTAGCGGGAATCTTGGCCATCTCTTACAGAAGGGACTGTTGTATTTCCTTAAGTGTTTTTCAGTTTTATTCTCTCTAATACACACATGGAGAACAGCATATTGTTAAACTTTCAACTTCACACACAGCTGTAAGAGAAGATTTTCCAGGAAGAACATTCCCTCCAATGCAGATCCCACCCTAACTACCCATGCAAGTCAACACCAGAGACCATAAATACGTGGCATTAAGTTAGTTGGAATTCAAGTCAGGCAACTCTACCAAGCTCTTAAAGGATTTTATTCTCATAAAAGGACTTAAAAATCACATTTTGAAGCAATCAGTTTAGAATATGCACATTTTTATTTATGTCATATGTCTCTATATAAAGACCAGTTTCCAGCTGAGGTCTTAGAAATTTAAAAATTCTGCAAGATGCAAACTAAAATAGACATTTGGAACTGTTAAAATCTGTGTTCTGTGTTACAGAACACAGTTGTGCTGTTACATGAGAGCTGGCTAAAAGGCCAAACTCCAAAGGTGTCCCACCAGGGGACAGCCTAAAGCCGTATCCCTCCAGTATAACCTGTGCATTTCCATAGCTCTCTGCATACAAAAATGGGGTCTGGGGCAAACAGCAGAGAGACAGCAGAGAGAACTAGTAAAACCTTAAGAACATATGTGCAGATGAATGTCCTGATAAACTAAGGATTTATACAATTGCCCCTAAAAGATGAGATTTAATTTTTTGGTTTTGATGTTTCCAATTAGGTAGGTCTCCTATACCAAACGTGTCAGAATTATCTACTTTGGCTACAGCACAAGGAGAATTTTATTTTAGTGGGTTAAAGCCTTTTACTGCCATGAGGTTAAGGGGAGGGAATCTCTCTTCACACAGCAGGAATTGTCATAGAAAAGCAAGCCCTTAAAACATGATTTCAATATTTAAAAAACTTGCCCGTACATAACAATAAGAAGCCAGCCAATCTAAAAATAAATCTTTCATGCAAACCTCCTGGGGAAGTACCTAAAATTTACAGCTCACCTGTAAATGTTGGATTAGTGGATCTTTCCAAACTGTAACAAGGGATTGGAAAAACAACATTACACACCAACACCACTTCCCCCACAGTGAGACACAAAAGCATAAAATTCTTAGGGAAGAAGTCACTAACTAGAGGGGGGTGGAGGTGGAAAGGGAGGGCAGGGATGTTGCCATTCATTATTTTTTAAGCTATACCTGCTCCCTCCCCTACTTAAATTAAAAAAAAAAAAAGAAAAAAAAAAAAAAAAGAGAGAGTTGTTAGTTGCTGATGTCATCAAAGTGCTAACATTAATCACTCACAGCATCACTGGTCCACACACAAGAGTATATAACAGGGATGCTCAGGCAGCATACTGCCAAGGGGAGGCAAGCAAGAGAGGGGGGAAAAGACATTATTTTTTTTCTCCTGTGTGGTCTTTGAAAAGCAAGGCAACAGCATCTTTAGACAAGATGTGCTCTTGCAGGAATTTAAGTGGAAGAGACAAAGAAACCATGCCACCAGCAGCATCGGAGAAAAAAACTGAAATCACCAAGCAATGAGAATTCAGTCCAGAGAATCTGAGGAGAAGAAAAAGCAAACTGGCAAACAGAGATCAGTCAGGAAATAATTCATGTAGAAAGGGATACAAAAAATTTGGTGTTTGTAACATTTTCACAGCAGCATTGCCATAAAGAAATTCTGTTCTGGAATTTCCATCAGGGAGTGAAGGTAAGTACTGACTTTATGATCCATAAAAACATCAGATGGTTTTTCCAAACATTTACATGTCAGTAATTTTATGTTTTCTAATAACTGACGGTTTGTAGCAATAGAAGTATGTTATTGTTATTTAATTATAGTTCATTCGACTCACAAAATGCTATGAGGATTAAACTGTTGAAACTATTGTTCGTAGGCTGTGTTAGAAAGTGTTCTATAAAAAAATTAATTATAATTTTAAGTAATAGGGATCTACCAGCTAAAGAGAAGGTAATTGAGCAAGTAAAAGCTCTGATCTCACTAATGCACCCTGTTTTAATATCTGCAGTAGTTGGGTAGATGCCAAAATGTGTCTGTTTGGTAAGTTTATCTGATAGCAAACTCAGTTCCTTTATACTGTTACTGTATTAAAAAGGGTGTATTTACCACAGATTTAGAAAAGCAGCATCTACCCAGATCAGTCACATCCATGGTTTTACACTGTCATGAAAATAAACATACATATTTTTTCTTCCCACTTCCCAGTAAGTATAACCCAAAAGCCTTGAGCAACAATTTTCTTACATAAACAGGCACAGAATTCTTACTATTAATGTTATGTCTCTATCAAAATCCCATGAAAAAAAATCCCATAAAATATACATTTTCTCAGTCTCCTATCTAGTATAAAATACAAGCATTACAGAATAATTTCATAATATGTTATGAGCAAATCTCATAAGCTTTCTTCCTCAGGAGAATTTTCAATAATTAATTGTTATTTAGCCAGGAAATTAGATTCCTAAGATTTTTAAACTTGATCTTAAAAAAATATTAGATTTAATTTTCACAACAAAGTCATAAACAATGACAGTGTTACTGTCATGTTTCTCAAAAAGTAAGCAACTTTCAAAGTGGAAAATAACTTTCACGAGTGCCACTGGAAACTGACAATCAAACTAAGGAATCAGATTAAATTGCTGAGGTAAACTCTTTTTCAAAAGTTACCATCACAACCATGAAAGCATAAAACCCAAGCCAAACAAATTAAAGTACTCACTGCTTGTTATTATATATTCTTTAATTGATGTGCTTAGAGAAATTTCAGAAAAGAGATGTTTTCCTTTCACTGTTTACTGTGGTAACACATACTGAGAATCTCAAAATACTGGCAGATTTTCTAATTTAAATTGAGGACGAGGAGGAGTATAAATTCAGGGCAGACAGACTATGGGATTACATAAAATTACTTAGAAGAGCAAAGAGCATTAGTAACGTTTTTAAATCCCCACTATTTATCCAAAAGGTAGGCTGTAGTGATAGCTGTATTTCACTAAGCTTGACAAAGCTTTTCCACGAGGCTGATTAGCATCAAGACTAAATATTGTGATACTGATACCACCAATGTAGAGTGTTCACAGCCACTGCCGCAGTGTAGCTGCAGTGGATACAGATGTGCAACTCAACCGCAAAACATGGAGAGTATCACAGAATCACAGAACAGTGACTGGAAGGGACCTTAAGCCTTGGAAGGCTTGGAAGTGACCTTAAAGATCACCTAGTTCCAACACCCCTGCCACAGGCAGGGACACCTTCCACAGCTTCTTGGGGCAGTCCATTCCGTGCCTCACTGCCCTCACAGTAAATAATGTCTTCCTAATATCTAATTTAGATATACCCTCTTTAAGCTTAAAGTCATTCCTCCTTGTCCTATCACTATCTGCCCATGTAAAAAGCCCCTCTCCAGCTGTATTGCTGTATCTTGCTGTATGTAGATACCAGAAGGTGCTGTAAGATCTCCCTGGAGCCTTCTCTTCTCCAGGCTGAACAGCCCAAATTCTCTCAGCCTGTTTTCATAAATAAGGTGTTCCAATGTGAACTTGTGAATAAGAAACTAATGTAAGATACTGGAGACAAATAATATGTGGTCATGTTTGCACATACGCTTTTGTTTTTCAACTGATTGTGACTGGCAAAAACAAAGATTTGTGCATGGTAGAGGCATTAGTTCCTCAATATCCTGCTAACCCCTCTTGCTACTTAACATAAAATGCAAGGTACACAGACTAGAGAAAAAAACAACTACTGCATTTTTTTTTTCCAATCACCTGGGGGAAAAAAACGTGAAAGGAAGTGATTCCCCAATTGTAAATTCTGCAAAAATTCACCATCTCTCAAGATACAACTGTGACCACTTGTACAGGTAGCAGCTCTGGGTGAATTTCTCTAAGTTTACATTTACCCTTTCACTTGGAAAAGAAACACATTTGAAAACACCACAAACTTTATGAACTTTCATTCCCATTTTTACACTGCAGTACCAAAGATGAGAGCATACTTTCCTAACAAACTCCATTCCTACATTACAGAGCACTACGATTAAGATCCAAACAACATCCTCAGTGCTGCAGCTTCTGTAAAGAACATCTTCCCTTTCCACAGGGAGATCAGCATCAAGAGAGGAAAAAAAAACTCCCAAGCAACATCCTGATGGGAATAACCGTCCAAAACATCACAGGAAACACCGCAATGGTAATTTGGCCAAAAATGGCCAGTTGTGTTGACAGCTTTTACAGCATCATGTACCACCCTAACTGGAACAGCATGCTATCCAGCTACTCCAGAAAGAGCTTTCAGAAGGAAGAGAGGGTGCCCACCACTCGCTCCTCTTTCGTTGTTGAAAACCTGACTCCCCTCACAACATACATCATGTGTGTGACCTGCCAGTCCGCAAACCCCTCCAGCGACCAGTGCAGAGTTTTTAATACGCTGGAACAAGACCCAGCATCAGCGAGCAACACCAAGAAAGAGCTGGCACTGGGCATCTGGCTCACCAGCAGCGTCCTGCTCCTCATCATCGCTGCAGTCCTGCTCTACGGCTGCCTGCACCTCCTGTGCCGCAGGAGACACGAGCGTTTGCAAGAGCGGAACAGGACCTCCAAACAAGAGCATGAGCAGCCATGGACCAAAAGTGTGGCATACACCTCAGCTGAGTTCAGCAGGCAGAGCCAGCAGACACAGGACACTGAGGAAAAGCATCCAGGTGGCATCCAGCTGGCCACAATCATAGAGAACCCCTCAGTGTGCAATGAGCCCACCATGACATCTTCTAAAAGTCAGGAACGAGTCCCAGTAACAGGACAGTGCTCTGCTATAAATGAGAGATGTTTTGTCCAGGAGAAGGCTTTTGCTACATGAGGTACCCCAGCTACTTCAAACACATCACATGCACTGTTGGTGCTCACAACAGGGAGCTCCAACTGCTCGCCACAGCACTCCTGGCTGTACCTCTGATGTCACACCGCTTTCCAGCAGCCTGTATGCAAAGGTTCACAGGCCCACGAAGTGAGCACTTCAGCCACCCTCCATCATTTAAAAATGAAGCATGTAGCAAGTAACTGATTTACATTTCAAGGGGATTTTTTTGTTGCTTTTTTTTAGTCTAAAACAGCAAACAAATATAAAAAGTAATCAAAAGTGACCAAAAGAATTTCTGTTAACTAGCATGAATAAAACTGAGCAGGAGTTTTCAGACGGCAACCCAGACTGTAACACTATAGGCAACTGGAACATACACACAGAGTGCAGTGGTTTGCCAGTGTGAGTTTTACCCTGACAATCCCAGCTGCTTCCCAAAACACACTACAAGCAGTACCACACTCAGACAACACACTTCACTGCCCAAATGTAAACTCAACAGAATTTTAAGTGTATCTTCTCATCTATCTTATTTTCCCTCACTCTAAATGCATGCAAGATAATGAATTTGTAAGGACACATCTAATTGAGGAAATATCCTAGATTATCACTTCTGTTCCCACCACAAGCTACCTTCAGATCGTGGGCCAGTGACTCCCTGCGTGGGCCAGTGACTCCCTGCAGAGGAAATGGAATTCAGAGACACAGCTCCTGGCCCTTCCCTTTCAGTTTTAATGATAACGTGTGTTAATCAGCTGCAAATTTCTTTCTAATTGCACAGTATATTCTGTGTAATGAAGGGGAACAAAATAGTAAAAACATGCCAAAATGCATTTGCTTTTTGTAACAAGAAAACTTGCTGATCATCTCACTCTGCCTTGAGCTTCATGGCAAAGGGCCAAGGTCCTTCAGAGAGAAATCTGTTCACCCTCACAACGTGACAAGTGTTGTCTGATTTACATGTATAAGTCACCCTGTTTTAAACCTCCTAAGTGCATTTGTGTTCCTTAAAAACATAATAAATCTTTGTATTGCTGTATATACACCAAAAAAAAACCAAAGGTGCACTGTGACTGCAGGCACTTAATTGCTCTTGGTATAAAAGTATGTGTGAAGTCATCTCTCTGACACAGGTCAGTTGTCCCAGCAAAGGCTGATACCAACTGCTGGCTGGGCTGCTGCCATCCCTCTCCACCGGGCCCTGGGAGCTAAGTCAGGGCAGGGGGGGTCCAATTTTGGCAAGAGAGCCCCCCATGAATATTTCACAGCAGGTAGTGGATCTTTTCAGCTACTCTATTTGACAGCAATTCCCACGACTCGTGAAATTCATCGACTCTCAGAGTGCTAGGGAGAAGCTGGCCTAAGTGTGATGAATCTTTGTTTTTTGGGGGTGTTTTTTTGTTGTTTTTGGGGTTTTTTTGAGTAGGATAAGCAGGACACACAGAAACGCTTGCTGGACAGGGGTGAGTATGACTTTCAGAAAACACTTCAAAAGGCATTTTTATTGTCTGAAGTTAGCAATAACGTATTCTCCACCTCCTGCAGAGCACTTCCTCCAGCTGACACATTCTCCTTTGTCTTGCACGTCAGTCTCAAATAAACTGTGAGAATAACAGTTCACTGTTGTTTCAAATGATGGTGTTACATGAAATAGGCACTGAAAAACCTTCACCAGAGCAGGAAGACAACACAACAGGTCTACTGCCAAAAAGGGGTACCTGGGTAGTGAGGACAGAGAGAATGCTTTAAAATTGTCTTGCAATCAAGTTAACAGTAACACTTCTCTGATCAAAAAAAGATTATTTTAATATTAAAGGGATGATGCCAAGAGACACACAGTCAATCTCATCCAACATCTTGGGCTCCTGAAAACCTGTTCACTTCTCTGCATGTCCATTTCTTTATGTGGGTTTTAAGGCAGCACAGTACATACATACATATATATACACATACATACACACATTTATGTTATATACACATATACATGTCATACAGAGAACAAAGAGTAGTTCAGTCTTAAAGCAGTTTTGAGGCAATTTACTTACTGCATTCTGTTATTTGTACACAAACATATATAAACAAAAGACATGCCTATATCTGACTGAGAAGGCAAAGAGCTACTACCATGGAAGTGCTTCCCAAGGGATTTACCTTCTCTAAATATAAAATCATTCCACCCACAGAGTTTACAGTGAACTACTAAGATAAACATTTATATCATCTCACAAGCAATGGACCATCTCGCATCTGCTGCAAACGAGCAGCTCATGCAGAGTGTCATCTGTTTTCTGCTCTAGTTTTGAAAAACTCGTCACATGCTCATTATTCTTTGTTTCTTGCTGAGAAAGTTTCATTACAGATTAATTCAGGTTCATTCAGACAATTCTGTATTAGATTTGGTAGTTCACCACTCAGTATTAAGTCATCGAGTACAGGGCAAACATTTTAAGTGATTTCCAAAGTGATACAAGTTGCAACGTTGTGCAAACTGCTTTTAATTTGTGCACCAGCAGTAGATAAAAACCATTATATTCACAGTGAGAAGTACCTTTCAAACGTGTATTTTTCAGAAAATAAATGAGTTAGCATTTACAAAGTGCTGGAGACATAAAAAACATGACAATATTTAGAAACTGTTGTGTAAGACAGAATGAAAGCCCTTATGGTCTACACAACCTCTATAAAACCAGGCAAAGTTAGTTAAAGTCCACAGAAAAGATATTTTCTTATATATATATTACAAAATATTTCATGCATTCACCCCATGTTGCCAAATTCCATCCTGCTAACATTGATATCGTTAATCCTACACATACTTTACCTGAGTAAAAGGGGTTTCAATGATCATGTTCAACCGAACTTTTAGAATAATCCAGCTCACTTAAAAGGCTAACGAGATATTTGCAGGCTGGCTCCTTCCCACCTGACAGCTCTGCTTCCATATCAACCAGAAGAAGTAAGTTGTAGCTGTGGGTTTTTGTTTTGATAATTACATGAAGATATCACTCAGAAAGCTTTAGGCGCTAAAGAGAATGTTGCTACAACTTTCTATGCTAAGTATCAATACACATCAATATAGACCAGATGCTTTGATCCATTTAGAAATATCTGGGAATATGTGAATGCTCTGAGATACAAACAAAAAATTTCTTTAGTTATTCCTGTAGTAGTGCAGCCTCTATAATGTAAGAATTTCTATCTGTTATTGGCTATATAAAGTAGAAATGTTAAAAACTTCATTCAGATATCCTCAATTTCAAAATACACTCAATTCAAGAATAAAAACTTGTTAAAATTTAAAATTGCAGAGAGTCATGAGTATTTTCTAATATGGGTTATGAAATCTATAGTTATTTAGTTATGAAAATTGTTATGTAATTTTCTAGCTATAAATTTGCCCCAGATATGCAAGTAAGATCCCCCACCTTGACTGATGCTGCTCAAGCAGAAAAATAAACAATTCTGAAAATGCATAGCTCTCAGTGTGACTATAACTAAACTCATTTTAATAATGTAACCTGACTGGTAAAAAAAGTGTTCCTCACTTAATCTTCTGTAACCCACCCCACTGTATCATCATCTAGATAAATTAAGTTAGCAACCTTTATGAAATTCAGTCAGGTTTTTGCTCTGTGCTGCATCTGGTCAGTTCCTAAAATAATAAAGAATACAATGACTCTAATGTAAGAAAATTCCACTTTCCTATCATTTACTTTTTGGAGAACAATTACATAAAACACTATTTACAGGACCAGTCAGCTGTTACATTTCATATTAAGACATGTGAATACTTTTCCACCTCCTTCACATTTTAAAGGCATGAAAGTTTTACAAATGCAGAAGATATTTTAGCACTGAAATTTGTAACTCCTGAAATACCTCAAAACCTTGATTACTGGGTTGAAATTGCACCATACAACTATGATATGATGTGCAGAAAGTAAGAATAAGACAAGGACTAATTATGTTCATGTTTAAGTAGGAGGCAGATATTGAGAGTAGCCACCCATAACACTTAGAGCACACTTGTATAAATTAGACATATAATTGAGTACATATTTTAAATAATTGTAAATAATAATAAATAATTTTAGTATTTTTATTGTCCATCCTCTGATTTAATCCTTATATTTTCATTTCTCTTTTCCATGCTTCAGCTTGCCACCCTGATATTCAATAAAACATTGAAAAATTTAGAGTGACATCTTGTCGTACAGTCTCAAATTATTTGCTGAAGATAGCACTGCTGGTTTTTACTGCTGTTTGAAGTAGATCAATATTTCTGACTAGATATTAAAAACACAAGTATATGTTACTGCACTATGTCTTTAACTGTCATTAAGACTCAGCAAATAATTCTGAAGAAAATAAATCTGCAGTGATCAGGGAGAACAAATCTATCACACATGAGCACAGCACTGGTCCTGTGCGTACAGGCTAACTTTCCTCACTTGGGTAGCCCACAGCCGTTCCCTTGTGCCAAGTACTCTTCCAACTTGTCACCCACACAAGCTCCTTTCCATCCTCAGCACTGGGGATTGCCACAGGGACAGAGTATGTGACTGCACATCGCATACCCTTGTCTTGAAAACTTGCATAAACCTTCCCAGCCCACCTAACTGCAAAGCAAGAAACATGGTGCTAATACAGAGATGAGATGGCCAAGACACCACACTCACCACAATGAGTTTGTGGCTCTTGGGTTGCGGATGCCAAAGAAATGCTACATTTTTTTAAAAAATAATTGAAGTAGTTTGGTATCTGATAGTTTAAGATGGTTCTAATCTATATTCCTTTTAAGTCAGATAATATCTGAAGCAGGTTTTCATATTTATTCCCTTTTCTTATGTCATCACGGTCTTCATCACTGGAAGAAGGGAGAGCTGCACCCAAGGTGGGTTCTTGTTTTCACTTAACCAGATGAGTAATTAATCCTTACTTGGAGTTTGTTCTGCCACTATAAGCAACTGAACAATACAAGGTGGCTGAGAGAAGGGCTTATTTTTTGCTTTATCAGAGAAGACTAACCATCAGACTAGTCAACTGCACTTTGGCTGAACTTCCCAGCAAAGTCTTAAAAAACAGTACGTTCCATTTAAAATACACACAAAATGTATTTCAGTCCATTTCTAATACTTTTATATGACATAATTTTAAAAGATACCTTTAAACATTAGCAAACCATAATGATAAAGGGAAATAAGTCCAACCTTTGATCCATAGAGATACTGTGGCTGTGCATTAGGCTGCTTATCACGCTGAAACTCCTGAGAAAATGGCAGCACGGTCCGAACAAATCTATACAAAAAAATAAAAACAAGATTTATTTATTATTATTAATACTTAGATGAGCAGATGTGCACTCAATGCACCCTACCCTGTAGAAGACTGCTTTTGTCTGCATATACAATCAAAGCCAGACCAGCAGCCTTTCAGCCCTAGTAGAAACTGGGGAAGCACACAGCCTGAATTGCCCAAAAGCATGGACACAAATCATACTGCAGTTCAACAATTGCTGTTCTTCCCATGGTGTGCAGGATCTAAAAATGCTCCTCACCTCTACTCTAGCCCAGGCCAGCAAATAGGGAATGAACTAACAAAGTTACAATAGCCTCTCAGAGGGCATAAGGAAACCCACTGTGCTTGCAAAATTAAGTCCTTGAGAAAGAAGTGCACTTTCAAAGAAGAACATGACATTTCTGTTTAATGTTTCGGCGCTTTTTCCCCCAAAATTCACATCAGGAGAAATATGTTCAACTGTTAGCTTTAAAAAAAGTCACGATGAAAGGTATAATCCTCACAGCAGAATCAGTGTTTCAAAAGTTTGATCATACTTCAGTGTGAGCCATGTACCAATAGAAATCATGCTTAGCTTCACCTTTGTATAATGTTAAGAGGGTGGCAAGAGAACTACAAAGATAGGGAGCACTGCCAAACACAGGATCAGCCATCCCACTCACAACTGAGGGCACCAGAGTCACCATCCCCAGTCCTCTTGTGAACAAGCAGCACAAATCTTCCCCCTTGTTAACTGTGTAATGCACATTTGGCAGCACCACAGTTTTAGTGCAGGAAGAATAAATCAATATCTGCTACAGCACTGATTCTGCTTAACTTCACTGAACAGAGGAAAACTGAGAGATGTGTGTTTACAAGTTGGATGGCTACTTTCTTTTTTACCTTGATTAAAAAGTATTTATTTATAAATGGTGCAAAGCTGAATATGCCAAGCAAAGAAGGAAAATAGCTATTTAAGAAGCGTACATCAAATGGGTTGTAGAATATCAGGCTGGTCTGAGTGATACCTGAGCAAAACAAATGTATCCAAGAAAATGTTCCAGGAAAGAAAACTTGCCTTACATTATAAGATCATATGATATAATTGTATCTTGATCTTTTTTTGTTTAAAGTATTTACATTTCATCAGCACACAAAATAAATTATTCATTATTAATTATTCCTAGAAAGAACAGAGGCATTCTCTTTTTAACATATCCATCTTCTAGCTAAAAACAAAAACAGCCATGTTAATCAAAAATTGTTTTACCCAGACCAACAAAAACTGCACCATGTTGCTTACAATTACTTCCACTGTGTTTTATTTCTGAATCATTCTTGTGAGAATCTGTAACTTTAGAACAGTATTTTCTGCATTTTTAACCTTCTCAAAAATAGATACAGCTACTTGTTCATACACAGTTTAGCCACTCTTCCCAAAAATACTTGTACTTGCTGTCGTCCAAAAAGAGTTTGCATTTAGAGCTTTTGAGGAAACATACATTATTTATATGCATTATTTTTGATATTATATATATATATTATTTAGATCTCCTTACATTCATATTTCCTCAGTTTACAAGTTTCTTCCCTTTCTCTTTCACATTGAAACTGAAAACTGTCTTTTGAGAGCGATTACTTGAATCTGTATTCTGCAGATACTTCATTAATGAGTTTACCAGAGATAATGTAAACATTTGATGGAATTCAAAGTAATCTCCAACATAGAACAGTGCCAGCGATTATTGCCCCTTTTTTCACTCTAAATCCCATTGCTTTTTAAACTGACATCAATTTTCAAGCCCTAAGAGAATGTCTAAAATGAAATCAAGAGATATTATGTCATTTGAGATAAGACTGGGTTTCAGTGTGAAAAGGTATTTGGGGAGAGCAAATCTGTTACCACTAAATTAAAATACTCACAAGGCAAGGAGTATTTTTGCTCCAAGTAACATATAAGTGGGCACATCCTGTAACTCTGGAAGCTGTAACTGTAATTCTTAGACTTTTCAAAAAGTTATTGTGTGTATATATCTCAATTACAATGTAATTAGTGCCTGGGAGAAAACCAGTCAGTGCAAGTAAATGCTCAAGTAACTCATATGTTTACCAGCATTCTCTGCATGTTTGGAGATTTCTCCATCTCCAATGCTTCAGAATAGTAGCAAAATAGTCTTAAAGTTTTCTTGAAGACTTGAAGCAAACACACTTGCTTATATTTTCTTGAGTGAAGAGGCCAAGAGAGGAAGAAAAAGACAAAAGATGACAATCACTTGTTAAATTATGGAGAGGCAAAATCTAAGATTGAGGCTAAAGCAGCCTAAAGAGTGCATCATCCTAGAAGGTATGTGACTAATCCCAACATATCATTCAGGTAAGCATTAGAAACTTCTTCCCTAAAAGCTAAGGGCTACATGAAAACCTTACAGCTCAGCATCATCTACTGTTCTTCACACTTCTTCAATGTCTTCATGTGTGCTTTCTTTCTGACATTCTGCTTCCTCCTTCTCCTCCTTCAAGAAAGAGGAACATCTCTTTGAATATCAAAGCTAAAGCTAAGCAAACTTTCACTTTCTCCTGAAAGTAAAATATTGATTGGATACAGGTTTCAGCATACTCCAAGATAATCAGTTTCATTTTTAATCAGTGTTGATGATCTCACAGCAATTTATCCATTTTAATCAGAACAGGTTGTAAGCAGTCAAAGTAGATTAAGCAGACAAAAAGCCTTCTGGCTTACCAAAGCTTTGCAAGTGAATTACTAGTGGACAACATGATCCCCCAAAGTAAGTATTTTAGAGATCAAATCATTTAATATTAATTTTTCTGTGATAGCTACCAGGAAGGAGCTCATAGTGAGCTCTTCACAAATTAAACTAAATGATTCTGTGATTTTAATTACTATAATCTATTTAAGGAGACAACTGAAAGAGACTGCTTTAGTCAATGAGCCTGCTGCCTTGCAGGCACCAGTCAGATGAATCTCATTCATAAACTTTCTGAGCTTCACTTTAGCAGTAAGAAGATATGACAGCCTTCCTTCCCTGCTCCTACAGAAAGCATTCTCCTGCACTTCCCTGTCTAATTGGTAAAAGTGCTTTTTGCTTCCAGCATTTTCAAATTAGTTTGTCCTGTCTAGCAGAGTTAACGGTAGCCCTACACCTCCTCTCAGTGAACACTAGATCTGACTCACCCTTCTTAAACACAGATGCCAGGATGGAGAGAACAGAGGAAACAGCAAGGAAAACAGTGCATAAGAGAGTAACAGATCTGCCAAACCATTGCTGTCGCTTTTGCTTTTGGCAGAAAGACTTTGGTTGGTTGCTTGTTTTTTAAGAAAGGGAAAGGGAGTTGACTACAGTCACCCCTGCTTTGCATGAGTCTATATCCCTGCACCATTTGGCTCTTTGTAGCAGAAACTAGATGGTTTTCACTGCTGCTTTTCAGGTTTGCTCCAGTACTATTTGCAAGGGCTGAAAATTTTTCTGAACAGTGACTGTCAGAGTATATGTAACGCAAGAAGAAACAGCTGTTCTCTTGTGAAAACCAGTCTCAAAAGCAGTATGAGAGAGAGCTCACAAAAGGAAGCAGGAGAGGCAGTCAGGAAAAGTGAAAAATAAAAAGCTGGTCTTTTTGTTCCTTCTGTGACAAATCTGTATCCTTGGAAAAAACATGTCATACTGCATTTGGAAGAGTGCTATACACATGAATTTATACTAGAGAACACAGATTTGGGTAATGTGTTAAAGGAGATGGAGCTACTAGTTTGACTACTGTCTCCAAAAGCTTGTATCATTTGTGTCAAGAGAGCACAGAAGATGTTTCATTCAAATAAATAAAAGTCTGTCTCACACTTGCTCCTCTATTAGGCCTTAATACAAAACAAGCTGTCAAGGAAGGAAAAGATTTAGAAACAGTGAAGAAAATAAGGCAGAAAAAGGGACACTACAGACAGTGGAAAGGAACAAAGAACAAAAATGTGGAAGTTGTATTTGAGTCATTTGAATCTAGGTAACCTAATTTCACAAGGAAAAAGTTCAGATGCAGGCCTAAGCATGACAAATATTCCTGATGTGGAAAGACTTGGCTTGAAATGACATGCAACTGAGGGTCAATGTGAAAGAGGGCTCTTGAAAAACAATCCCAGGCACCATAGAAAAGACAACAATGGGAAACACCTGTTTATGGCCACTTTCAGTACAAGAACTAGTGGACAATAGCCTGAGAGCATCTAAAAAAGATGCAGCACAAGCTTCACTGCAGACTTCTCACTGGAGTACATAATGAATGCCAAAGCCTCACATAGCTTTATAAAAGGGATGGGGACAAAAAAATGGGGAAAGACAAATACCTCTGTAAAAGGCTATGAATGCACTAACATCCCACCATTTTTGTTTTACAGAAACATCTAATCATTGCTAGAGGCTGGCAGGCTCTGGGGAGAATATATCAGCTCAAGCCTCGCATGTTTTCATATTCAGCCCCTTTATGGCTGCTGACAGCATCAGGATACTGGACTAGAGACAACTTAGACCTCACCTGCAGTTCATATGCTTGTGCACTATCCAAAGGTTTGTTTTATTTCTTTCATAATGGCTAACAGCTGTATTAAAAATATTGGATTTCCCTGCTAAGGCCCGTCTGCAAAGGTCACCTCAATCATCTCCCCCCTTCCTTCTCCACAAACTGTTGTCCCTGAGTCTGTGCAGCTGGCCAGCATTAATGAGACTAAATTTCAGATAAATGGCAACTCCAATTATTAAATTGCTAAATCTTTTAATAGCAGCTTCACTCTTTAATCTCAGTACATTATCAGATATAAAAAAAAATTCCTAAGTCCCAAATAATAAAACATGCAACGTGTTTCAGCATTTCTGCATGAAGAGCTTTTGAACTACACTTGCAGGGTTCCTAAGTAGTTGAATTCTTTTACACATGTATGTAGTTATCACATTCAACCATTCTTGGGAAAAGAGTATTGGAAACATAATAATGTGACCAAAACACTAACTTTAAAAGAAGAACCCTTATGCCAAGCTGTCAAATTAAAAGAAGATAAGTCACAGGTATGACAGATTCTCTGGGAACTCTGCCTCCAGCCCCTCGCAACACCAAGTAACCTCTCTGCTTTCATCTTGATTATTCCTCTTTCTTTCAGCCTTTAATTGGTACTTCTCTTCCCTTGTTTACACATAACCTTCATGCAAGACATTACCTATCAAGAGTCAAGCATTAAACCAGCAGCTCTCACACAGCTCCTCACTGTGTACTCCTGTGTTTGCACTCAATAACCTGTACACTTGACTGCAGTGAGAGCCAATCAATTTAAAGTTCATGCGAACAGCAGGGCAGTAATGAACATGCTTAAGGACTATAAAAAGGCTAAAAACTGCCTGTTCCCTCTCTCACCAAAAATATCAAAGGGCATTGTATAGCATGTGCAACACATACATTAATTCTCTCCACACTGCTGCTTTCGACTGAAACCAAAGCACTTCTTTGATGAAATCAGACACATGGCACGCATACTGCCTAAGATCTGTCTCCCTTTAATATATCTTAAATTAATTATCCTGAATTAATTACCTAACAGGCTGAGCCCAACTCAATTCTTGTGTACAGATTTTAAAAAGAGACAAGCAACAGTGCTACAGGATCCTGCTAATGTCCTTTGGCACCTCACACTTGTTTCCCAAGTGCTGTGGTCTGCACTATGTCAGCCCTTGTAGCCAGGATGAACACAGACTAAACATATAGGAGCTATTGAATGTCTTTCAATAAAGCTGACAGGCAGAGAAGCAGCATTTCATCAAGATTTCTCTTAATATTATGCTTATTTGAGTCTTAATACAGCACACTGAATATTCCAATACTGATCTCCAGACATATCAACTGCCAGAAGCTCCCTCAGAAATACATTCGACTTTTCCTGTGCAAACAGATTCCTGTAACAGAAGTTTCTTGGGTAAAACTTAACCACAAAAAAAAACACCCTTTTTTTTTTTTTTTTCCCTTTGCAGACAGAATCTTGGATCTAAAATACAACATAACCATCACAGAACATGTCAGACAAGGAAAGCTCTCCAAGGAGACAGTAAAAGATGAGAACAGGCTTCCTCCTCTTCCTACAGTTCAATATTCACTATCACTTTACTGTCACTTCATGGGGCTTTAACCAAAACCTGAGTAAAGACTAAAAGTAACACAAATTCCAAAAACAGCACACAAGCAGGATAGCACAGATATGCAAAATCTTGAACACTGTGCTTCCCCCATTCAAACCTTAGAACCTACCTTCCTCTTTCTATTTCCATTACTCACTCTCTTTAAAGACTGCAATTGCAGTTTGCAGTGAATACTCAACTCTTTCTGTCTCCAGGAGAAAAACTTTTTCTTCACATTAGCACAGAATCAGGAATATAATTTTATTTCTGTCATCTCACACTTGAAGATCCTGTTTCAAAATACCCTCCTGATATGCACTTAGCAGTGTTCTGACACACTCTGTTTTTCAGCATATCATAACTACGTCATCAAAATGTCAGAATTTGGATGCTGTAGTTCCATTTGCCTTCTATTGTGGACAAATAACAGGCTTTCATACATTTAACAGTACTTGTTAAAATGACTCATCCTGCCGCATTTCAAGTAAAGCATTAGAAATGGAAAACACTAAATGAATGGAGATGAACTTGTCAGCACTTGCTAGGAAGGAAGCTGCAGGAGGGTGGTAGAATAAATAAAAAGCTGCAAATAAAAAAGCTGCCTTGCTAACCTGTTAGTGGATCCATTGTAGCAGTAGTTTGGAAGGAAATCATAATTGAGTTCCCAAAAGACGTGAAGAGTGATTCTGCCGTAAGGGGCTGAAACATTGTGGTTGGCTTCTCTGAACATGGCATCAAAGCTGTCCAAGGTCATATACCTACTCAGAAGCTTGTGAGTCATTTTGTTTATCTCTATCAAGCCATCCAGCTCCTACAAAACACAAGAGGGAAGAAAGAGAATGATGCATTTAATAAAGTGGAGGCAATGAACAAAGTACATAAATAACCTTGAGGGAAGAGAAGACTAGAAAGAAGTCAAAATGTACAGTTGACTCTCCCCCAGTCTCTAACAATAAGGACTGGAAAGAATCAGTACTCTTGGGATTGTTTCTTAAACCTGCTGAGACTTTAAGGGTATTCAGATGCAGAGGGGTCTCAAACACAGATCCGTAACAATACCTCCTCCACTTAACAAAACTGAACTTAAAACCCCAACATTTAAATGGGGTCACACATAGGCCAAAAGCACCTTTCTGCATTTCCTACTTTACAAGCAATCACTATGTCATTTCACCACTAGAGTAACTGGAGAACTAACTATTGTAGTGGTAATGTTAGGAATAACATCACATTTACCATCCTTCTCATGGTCTCTCCAGTATGTACTAAGATGTAATGAAAGACCAGATCAAACATTTACAAATGTTGTGAAGGTTTTTGTGCCCACAAAATCACTAGCTGCAGGCTACATAACTATATATGAGTACTGCATGTTATAACATTTCTCCTCTTGACAAGAAATTCCTAGTATCCTTTCTGGTAATTTCTTTAAAATTAACAAAAACCAAAATCTCCATATCTGACATCAGACACTGAAAACACCAAAAATAACACAATCTCTACTTCCAAAAAATCCAAGCACTGCTTTAAAAGATTATTATGCAATGATCTACTGAAGAAATATCCAGTGTCTTTTTTCTAGCTGTGTGTGAAACTACTGGTCATCTTCCCAAAGCCTGCTCTCAATAGCTCAGTCTTGTAAATACCTTAATTTAATTTATTGTGCTTGAAAAAAAGCAGCAATTACAGATTACTTAATCTATTAGGGTCAGTTTCAACAGAAAATATTTTACATTAAAAAAAAACCCAAAAAACCTCCAAAACACAACCTGTGATCTAAGGAACGCACAACTGATGGTTTCTGTTCACTTAGCCACTAAGAATGTACTTTTCTTTGCACATAGCAAAGAAAAACTACATTTCAATAACTCTAAGTTAGAAAACCAAGCACTCAGAAGTCAAGAGGCTCTATGGCCTCAGTATTTGATTTCAGTAAAGAACAAAATTAAACCAAGATATTTAACTGCATGACAAAATGTCACCGTAAAAATCTTATTACAGAAAAAACAGTAAACTCTTTTGCACAGCTTTTAATTTATTTTTCATTCCAGCAGAACTGAGTGCCTGGTATTTTTCTTTCTGACTGCATGTTTAGTTGTCAAATTCACGCTGTCTTGAAATAAAATTTGTTTTTTAGCATTTTAATCAGGAAACTAACTCAAAAGGACACCTCAATATTGCACAGATGCTCTTCTTCCATAGGCACAAGTCAGATCTCATTCCTCCACAAAAAAAATATTTTTGTCATGCTAGAAAACCAAGCTGCCTGAGTAAATAAATGCCTTTTGATTCTACCAAGCACAAGGCTGATTTTTTGATCTGCAATTTATAAGCATGGGCAGAAGCGGGCTCTTACAAAAATTTAAGTCACAAGGTGATTGCCTTTTTTTCTCACAGCTCTGAGTACATGCCTTCTCTACACTTTATTCCCAAGGCCCTCAGCTGCAATAGGTTTGGGGTTGCTTCACCTCAACTGCTGTGTCAGTGATCTGGCAAAACAGCAACACAACACAGCACAAGACTCACCACAATGGAAGTCAAATCCTCGCTCTCGAATCTGCCGATGGCCAGTTCCATCGACCTGTACATGGCTGCCGAAATGCGCTGAGTGATCAGCCGGTTCAGGTCTATGGACCTGCCAAGGAGCTACAGGGAAACATGCTGTGAGGTTTTGAACTGACAGGCAGGTTACAAGACAAACTGTACAAGGATTATGAGAGTCCACAGATGAACAGACTCTCACTTTGGGAGCTTGCATCCCAAACACACTGAAACAAAGCAGATGGGCAAAATTTATACATTCATGAGCAAATGCGGTACTAAAATTTGCATCCCAATTCTGACAAAAAGAAGTAAAAGTACACATTGCATCTCCATTTAAGTACTTATATCAGCATTTTATGCTTCCACAACATTGTGCCAACAACACACTGAACACTGGTGAAAGACATTACTAAGAAGACAACACTACCACCCATGGCATTCCTATTTGGCTCATGTTTTCTTAACTGCAACAGACATTTGCATTAAAATGGGACCTTTTAAGGTTATTTTCTTAATTTACACCTTCATGCAACAACAAAGCTGATCTCAAATGTTCAGCTATGCTACTGAGATGACAGAACATGAAGCACAAAATGAGTTTTGTCTCCCTACATAAATCAACACCACTGGAAAGTTGCCAAGCAACTCAAATACGACATGGTAGGAGTTAACTCACTTGAACATGTCTCTGTTTCAGCAGTGTCTCGTAGCGGTTGGACTGCAGCAGCTGAATGGTTGCTCCCTGGTTCTTGCACTCTGAACGCAGCCGTTTATCCAGAAGCAGGCTATGAAGAAAGGAAGAAAATGTTTAAGATATACTAAACAGCAAAGCAGAGCAGAATAGTGTGAAGAAAAGCTCTCATAGTGGAAGGAATAGCTACCTGCCAGCCATTGCCTTGTAGTATGCAAATATTTGGTCTGCCAGCTTGTAGACAAATTGGTCAAAACACAGGTTTACCTTGGGGAGAAAAATATCATATGTTTAGAGATACCTAAAATTAAAAAAGAGCTTATCTAAGACCTCCCACTGTTTATCAAACATAGTCAAGAAAGTTAATAGACTCAAATTTCCCAGTACAAGAGAAGATGTCATTCAATTATCAGCATTAATGTGAGGCATTTTTGCACAGGTCTACAGGTTTCTTCACAACATATTACCCAACCAGTTACTCATCTTCTGATCCGTCTTCTAGTTTTTCTGTTATCTCCAGCTGTTCTGAATCTCTTACAAAGGCCTTGCCCTTTAGCATGATTTTCACATTCAGGTACAGATTATTTTTTCTCCAGTAGGTAAGGTTACTTTACCTCTGCCTCAATTTCATCATAGAGGAACTGCTTCTTAAATTTGGTAAGTGCATAATGAGCACTATCATTGTAAAGGTCCAAAGAATACAGAACATACCTGCAAGAAAAAATAAAACACGAGAGTTACATGTGTATAAAAATTATGATTCTTTCGGATGGTTCAGTCAAGATGATGTAAGCCAGCCAATATTGTAATCCACAAGTGGTTCATGAAAACAGGATCTTTTTCATTTTTTAGTTTATATAAAAAAGATCACAATTTTTCCTTTAAGAAAATATTAGCTGGTTCAAGAAAAGGTGTAGATGTATTTGAAGTCCAAAACTCGTTTTCTAGATGTAGCTGTCCATCCAAATGGAACTACCATGATACATTATGTTTGACATCTTTGAAGAATAAGGAGAACTCAAGGAGCAAAATAAGTGATCGGTGCAATGATACCTACATGAAAGGTTTAGTATTTCAATTACTCACTTCAAAAAGAAAACTTAATAGAATCTGAAAATGGGCAAATGTAAGACAAAAAGTTTATTAATGTTTAGAATACCTTCTTAATGACTACTTGTTAAAACCAATTAAAGCAGCAACATTATAAAAAGAAATGGCAATCATTAAGAATAATCATTCCAGTGGAAGAGCACAAGTGGGTCTTACTCCATCATTGATGCCTCTTTTGTCTCCAAAATATGATCCGTCAAAATCCAAGGCATGGACATCTCAATGGGAAACTGGATTCTTCTGCCCATGGTCAGCTCTAAGAAGAATTCCCTGAACCACAGCTGGGACAGATCACAGCATTGCTGCAGTGTTTCTTTCAGAATAAATAAGGGAGAATTACACTTCTTATTGAAATACATCAGGTACAATACAACTGTGATTCGGATGATGCAATGCAAAACAAAAAAAGCAGGTGCAAGTCACTAAAGCTGTACATAGGCCAAATAATCTAAAGCAAATTCAAAATGTAAAGCCCATGAGTTTTGAACTCCTCACTGGCCCCCAAAGTGGTGCCTTCTTATAGAAAAAAAAATGAGTGGAAGTGGATGACACTATCAGGTAAACATAAAAACTGTGTACACCAGTAAAATGGGATTTCTAGTTCAATTTCTCACTTGGGGGCTGAGAAAGCCATACGTTGAATTTGGGAAGCAGCAAGTGAAGGAAGCAAAATTGCACTGGAACTCCCAGTACCATCCTTCCCTATGGAGGACTGAATTGCTCCACATGTTCCTGTTGATTAGATGGGCAGAAAATGACAGACAGACACATGAAGTAGGGATTAAACAACAAGTTTCTAAGGATGCTGTCAAGGGCCCAGAGGTGTGCTTCCCACCTCTCCAGAAAATACTTGGTACCATCCTTCTTTTTCCAAAGGCTAGTGAACTAAAACAGGAATGAACTTTTTACACTAAGACCTTCTGAAGACCTTTTGCAGCGCCGTCCCCCAGTAGCACTATGATATTAACAGGCTCCCCCTTCTCCAAGGGTAAAGGAGACCAGCAGCAAAACAAAAATGAAAGACAACACAGCATGGTGATGACAAGGACTAGGTACACTCAATGTCAGTAGGTGAATTCTTTAGGACAGCATGTTTCCGATTACAATTAACTGAATAGTAAGAGTAGTGAAATGACATCGAATTTACCACAACAGAGAATTTGTTTCCTCTGTACTTAAAACAAAAACAACCAAAAAAAATCTCCCAAAACACAAAAACTACTTCCTTTAAAAAATTTCAGTGTGTATAGGCTCATTGTTTATGTAAGTACATACATAAAGAAAATAGAAAAGGGAGGTAACAATATGAAATTTGACGCATTAGAAACAAACGTATAACAAGTCAAAATAAAAATCCCACGACAATACCAAGTACTATCTCAGAAAAAGTTTGGACAGACCAAGGCTTTGGATATATAAACCAAAGGTTAAGTTGACTTAGGCAATCGGAAACATTTTCCAGGTCGTGTTAGAGGTGTTAGGACATGCTAAGCTGGACACTGATCATCTACATATCTTACCACTGAAATTTATCAAATGAGTGTAGAAGAAAGACTCGCGATGGAATTTTTCTATGTCCAATATGGTGGGCCCCTCAAGGCTACTTCTCAAGGTTTTCTTGGAACCACTTTTGTCAGCAATGAGGGACTCTAACATAGTTCTCACCATGTAAAGCTGTATCATTAAAGGAAACAATTACGGTGGAAAGGGGAGGGGGGAAAAAAGGAAAATACACATGGTACATTAGTTGAGCAACACTGAGAATTACTATCAGTAAGCGACTGCTCCACTTCAAACTGAAAACTGGCACTGTGTGGACAAAAGCCTTTGAGGCAAGAGGAACAGATGCAACACTAGCCTACACACCAGCACAAATGCCTACCCATGCCAAGGGGACCTCCACTGACAATCGGCAGCAGACCATTTGCAGTGGAACAGTTCACATCACCACAAAAAGTAAAAGTAATAAGTAATGTCTTACCACCAAAGTTTAAAAGAGGCGGATAGATGTAGGACTGCCTCAGAAACTTGTGTGTCACATGCAATAGCTTTTCCAATCCCAGAGACTTGAGCTGCTTCAACAGCTCAGCAGAGTTTAAGGACTCTGTCATAGTGCGAACCATGAAGAGCTAAAAACCAACAGACAGGGGCAGGCAGGGGAAGAGAATCCGTTAATAAAAACACATGGGTAAATAAGGAACGGGAAAGAGAAGCAGAGAAAACATGTTAGTGTGTTAAAAATGAAAAGCAGCACAGTAAGCATGCAGAGGAGGTCATACAGAAAGTGTTGTTCATAATCACTGCAATCTGGGGCTCCCTCAAGCACAGGGAAAGTTCCTGCTCATTTCAGAGGATGCTCAGGGAGCCATTAGCTTATCAAACGATTCAGAAAAAATTTCCAGGTAGCACCAATTACCCATTCATACACAGCCATTTTAGAGTCGCACGAAAACCTATCTAAAATGGATATATTCGACCTCTTGCCTTCCTGTCTACCCAGACAGACAAGTGTGCCAGCCCAAGAGCAGAAAAAGCAGATAGAAACACATACTCTAAACAGCCTGTTGCAAAGGTGAAGCAAAGCCCTTAAAGCACCAGAGAAGCAAACTGGTAGTGATATTTAACCTTTTCTTTCACCCCAGGAAATTAGAAATCAAAACAATTTTTCTGCAATTATCAAAGCAAAATCTTCATTAAACCAATTTTATCACAAATTAAGCAACTTTTTATTACCCAAAATTATTAACCATATGTGCTCTCTTTCCCACAAATTTTAGGTATTAAAAGATTGTCTTCACAAACCACAGTTGCCTTCAATTTTTTCACCCCAATTTCTCAGATGAGCTATGAATATCAGACCATACTCTCCAAACAAATCCACAAATGAAATAAAAAAGAGAACTATATGGAAGTAACAGGAATGAGCATCTAGGTATGGAATTTTGATGACTACCACAGAAAACATCTGAAATATGTCATTTAGTGGAAGCAGCAGACAAATTAGATTCTAGGGACCAGATTTATCATTCATTACTGAACACTGCAAGGGATTTTGTCAGAAGTAATATTCTTTCCCATATTTTAACAGATGTTCATTTATAATTTAAACATATTTTAAAACTACTAGACATCTACTGAATAGTGTGACTTCACAAAAGTTTTTACCAACCATACCAGTTTTTACCAGAGACAGAAGTCAGACTTGAGTCAGGCGAGAAATAATTCAAATAGTTCAAAAATATTATTTAAAAAACATAAGGAGCTCAATGAGAAAATATTTGTTCCCAGAAAATCAAATTAAAGAGATTGAACACTTGGAAAAATTATGTATCAGAGTAGAAAATTACAGCAATCTGCAATTACAGGCAGAGGATCTTGGTTAAGTGCATATAATTTTGCAAATATAAATCAGAGTAGAATTTTAGCATAAAAAAAGACTGCAATAAAACCTGTAATTTTAAAATAGTTCAGGACAGAAAGAAAACACCTCATGCAATAATTGTTGACAGATACCACAGCCACCAGACAGGAAAATACCTGAGTGCTGGAAGGTCCCACTGCACGTCTTGGGACTTTGATGTCAAAACCACTTTTGGGGTCCTTCTCTCCCCTTAGAGCTGGGTCATTGAATGGCTCATGACCTGCTTCCCAGTCACACACTGTCTTCCTTATGGCCTGCAAAACACTGAACACAATTCCCACTCCTTCAGACTGCAGCGCATCCAAGTGCCCTGATAGAACTCGTTACTTTTTTTAAGCATTCTTCCACAAGCACAGAAACTTTGCAACAGAATTTAGGAGCTCAGAGTAATTCCAACCAAGAACAAAGAATTTCACCAATGTCTTCAAGAATGACACATCCATGTAATAAACACTCCATGCTGTTTATCAGAAAAGGTAGTGTAGAGCCCTTAAAGACCATCTAGTTTCAACTTCCCTCCTGCCAAGGGCAGGGCCACCTTTGACTAGATCAGATTGCTCAGGGCTCCATTCAAGCTGGCCTTGGACACTTCCAGGGATGGGGCATCCACAACTTCTCTGGGCAACCTGTTACAGGGCTTCATTACCCTCCAAAATAAAGGATTTCTTCCTAATACCTAATCTAAATCTGCCTCCCTCTTTCAGTAAAACCACTGGTCCTGGTCCTGTCACTGTCTGCCTGCATAAAAAGTCCTCCTCCCTCTTTGTCATAAGCCCCTCTAAGGTACTGGAAAGCTGTAATAAGGCATCCCAGAGCCTCTTCTTCTACAGCCTGAACTACCCCAGCTCTCCCAGCCTGTCTTCATATCAGAAGTGTCCCAGCCCTCTGATCATTTTCATGGACCCTTTCTAACAGGTCCATATCTTTCTTGTGTTGAGGACCCCAGAGCTGGATCAATCAAACCAAATTCATACTAATCTGAATACATATTCACTATGAAATCAATTAATATTTAATCAAATCAAAGCAGATTATTAACCAAATTGAAGTAAGACAATGATTACTTGAAATGAAAAAAAAAAGCAGAATTCCTGTTTCCAGAAAAAATCCAGATTCCAAAATTCAGCTGAAATTTATACAAACAGCTTCATCTCCAAATACTGAACTGGAACTCAGATATCTGGCAGGAGCACAGTCAGATATATCCTGTGGCATGTTGAATGATCAAGAAAATATCTCATCTCAAATATTATTGCTCAGGCAGGTATGAAAGTAATATTTTTCTATTTCATTAAAATCCTGTGACAAAAGGACTCTTCCTGTACACCTAATAATGTGGAGCAATTTATTTATTTTTAGCTTACAATGACATTTTTGTCATAGAGCATTTAGCAATAGCTTAATTAGTTAAGGACTTTCACCTCTAAGAGCTCTGCAATGAAATGTGGGAGTAAACAAATTATAAAGAAGTCAATACTAAAAGCAAACAATTAGGGACAAAAAAAATAAGGTCAGGAAATGTCACTAATCAGCATGGGCAGATGGAGCACCAGAAGAGAAGAGTAAGGCTAATAAGCCAAAAGCAGCAGAAGGTGAGAAGCAAGACAGAATGCTGAGAGGCAGTGAGAAGAGAGAGTGGAACAAACATGAGACACAAGGAAAGGACACAATGGAATAATAAAGTGGACAGTGAAACCTTTCTTCAAAATACAAACATTAATCTTGCTTTCAGTATTACTGTACTTGTATTTTCTTAAAATAAAAATAAACAATAGGGAAGACAAGACTTCCTAAAGTAGTCCTATCTTAGGACAGCCTGGATTCCTGCTGTAGCCATGCTGGCAGCCACTCATTTTTAACTTCAGACTTCAACTTCCAGTTCATATCCAGCCAAGCTAACCACGAATGCCAGACAGATTGGGAGTACAGATTTAGAGAGACTGAATTTAACATCTGTGCAATTCTGCAACTAATTTACTAAGGTCTGGAGGAAAGAATGTAGAAAAAGATGAAAACAGTAATGCTACCTCTGAATGACATTTTTCTTCTTTTTAATGGCTTGTCTTAATGGCTCCCTGAGTGTGACCTGGGCAAAGTCCTGAAGAGCTGCGTAAATTGTATGACGAATGGCATGATTGAAAACACTCTCCATTCGTCCCATCAGCACCTGAAGACCTTTGATCATGGCAATCACCTGCAAAAAAACAAAAAAAAAATCCCAGACAAATGTATCTTTTGTGTTTTGTTTTTATATTTGTACAAACACTGCATTTTTAAATACAAAAAATGAGAAAAGAGGAATTAACAAGTTGCAAATGATAGAGGATAGATTTGCTGTGCTCCTCCTATGCACTGAATGGAGGAACGTTGCTTCAGAGTCAGCACATGGCAGGCTGGCTTTCTGCACTGGGTATGCAAAATGCTTATAGAGAATGTTCTGTTTTGTACAGAATTAATCTTTGGAAAATCCCTAGAGAAAAACATTTGTCTTACCTCAACCAAAGCAAACTTCTCCTCGCTCGTATAATTGTATCTTGTTGCTCTTTCATACTCCTCTGCATTGTCAGGACAATCTTTATTGGAATATTTGTCAGTTGGGTGAACTAGCTTCCACGAGTACTGCAGTTCACAAGGCAGAAGAGGAAGGGAAAAAAATGGGGAAACAAAAAGAAACAAAAATGCTTGAGAAACACAAAACACAGCTGGACACAAATAACACGCTTCAAGAATTAGTGTTTTCGTGAATATTTGAAGAATAGTATTTCAAGCCTAGCATAAATTCTGAAACTACTATCTGGTGGAAATGCCAAACAATAATTTTTCCTAAAACCTTTTCCTGAAAACCTGTGATTCTGTATTATTCCAAAGAATTGCAACTCAAACTCAACAGGTGTTGCACTTAAGGGTGTTTTCTACTGTGCAAATGTTAACCCAGGCAAAAGTTTCTTCTCTGCTTCAAATATGAGAAACACAGGAAGACTTCAGAACATAAGAAAAAAAAAAAATCCATCAGACCCACACACAAAAAGAGGAACTTTCTACTTGATGAAATATTCACATTCAGATTTCAAAACACAACCAGAAAACTACAGTTTTGGGTTGTTGGGTTTTTTCTGGGGGGAGAGTGGGGTTGTTATTTAAGTTTACACAGCTGAAATGTGAGGAAATAGCTCTGGGGAATTATCTGTGACAATATGATCTGCACAGCATGCACTTCTCCTAAATACTGCCTTTTCAGTCACTGCAAACAGCTCAAAATGTTCCTGAACAGTGTCAGGCTGGCCTAATATCCATCAGGGTACATCAAGTAAAAAATCCTAGTCACATTTAAATACAATTTTCTAACAGTTTGAGTTCATCACATAGTAAGATCTGGCTGACACCACTTTAGTATAAACGTTAGATTACAGAGCAATATAAATTTGCCTACTATAATGCATTAACAGCAGCAATTCACCTATGGCAAAGGGGAGCATCACACCCTGAAACCTGAGTGCCACAAAGAGGACACTGAGGAAATGATTAAACAAAGATGAAGCTCTTTGGGGGCATTAAACTGGCAGGGTTAAGATGCACAACAAACACATGATGCAAGTTTTTATCTGAATATGATGCATGTGACTATGTTCATGGATACTCAGTGAAGGTGGAGACAAGTAAATTATTAGGATACTCCACATCAGAATAAATTCTCAGTAGGACAGGAAGAAGGTGAACACAAACTTGAACTTAGATAAGAAGTATTTATGGGAATCCATACAAACTAGAAAGACAATGAAAAGTAGTGAGAATAGCCAAAAAACATGCTGTGATGCTCAGAGAAAGTTTGTCTTGGAATGAGTAGGACAGAAACAGAGCTAAGAATGAGAGACTTCCTTCAGAGATACATTAAAATAGGAAGATTTTCACTGTGAAGACACCTGGATGCAGCAATTTGTGATGACAGAAATAAAGGGTGCAAGTCTAGGAGCTGCAGAGGCAAGGAATAAGAAAGTAATTCTTTTAGAAGAGAAAAGGAGAACAAGATTTTCACCATTAAATACACTGTGGATTTAAATAGGAATAGGATAATACAGGGAAAACCATGACTCATCTACTGGCTTTTAAAAGAGACAGTTAAAAATACAAACGAGACAGAAAACTGGTTCTCCAGCTATGCCCACTGTGACTGCACTGGAGTCACATACTGCAAATTATTTCATGCCCCCTAAGACATCTGAGGCAGAAGAGGAGCAAGTCAGGCTTCTCTCATACAGTAAATCACATTTCAACCCTTCCTATAGCATGTTTTGGTTCAGCTAAAGCACACAGCTTTTTTCCCTTATCTCCTCACACATATTCGTTTTCCTGCATTCACTATCCTTTTGATTAAAAGCCCCATCTAAAGCCAGTGGGAGACCTTCCATCCATTTTTGTGTGTTAAAACCATACATGCTTCAATTTACTCAGCGGTGATGTCTAAACACAGCCAGTTGGAGCTGTTCTGTCACTTCCTCAGTGACTGCATGTCAGCACAGATGTTTCTAACAATATCATTTTTAAACAATGTTTAGAAGGAAATGATGAACTCTTAGTCCACAAAATATTTTTATCAAGAGTGACATTAAAACAGCTGGTGAAGGTTCACAGGTGACAACCTATCCATTAAATAGAACAAGCTGAATGTACTGTGTGAGCTACATGCTACTGGATCTTCAAAGCAGCAACATTATTCCTAGACTCTGAAAACCTCATATGCCACCCCTCTAAGAATGAGGTTTGAGGCAGAAGGAGAAAAGGAGTGAAGGAAGAGGGAAACTAAGGGAAGAAGATTCTTGCTGGGTCCTTTCCAATTCAGAATATTCTGTGATCCTTTGAAAACACAACATGCATTTCTCAGTCCAGTAAAGCAAAGCTATTTTATTCTGTCTAACCACAACAAGCCTCCTCTTTTTCATCTGTTTTTATTTCCCATGTTACATACCACTTCCATGACATGGGCACTCCACTGGGAGAGAAGCTGCAGGCCTTGGAGAGAGAGATCAAAGAGCTTCCGATATTCCGCATCTGTTTTTTGAGCTTCCTGTCGACCAGACCCAGTCACCACCTAGACATTATCAGAAGAAAAAAAACCAAAAAAATCCACACCCAAATCCACATCAGAACATGCTGTATTCAGCACCTACAGCCAAATTTCTACATTGATTGAAGCACTAAAATAGCATCATATATTAACACCTGCTTTGCCATCTAACATCAGCTTTTTCTTCCACAGACTCATGAATCTTCACAGATTTTGGTCAAGAGACAGAAATCACTTGTATCCCCAATGACCACAATATTGTTGCAGATGAATTCAAGATATCAATTATATACCATATACATATTTATTTGTTGTCTCTATATACTATATATGTAAGAGTGTGTATACATATGCATTTCTGTATTCTTTTACTAATCTCTTAACCTAGTTTTGTTTAAACTGCTACAAGCTCCTGTTTGGAGTAAGGACTAGACAACACATCCTAAATGAGACATACCAGAATTTCTAGGATAAATCTGAGATACATAGAGAGGAAGAGGCAGAAGGACGTTAGAGTTTGTACAATGTGTCATTATTATGGTAATTTTAAATAGTGCAAATATAATTCAGAAAATGGGGATTAGACCCGCAGCCAGCTTTTCTTGACTCAGGTGGCCAAGATTTGTCATTTAGCTAACCAGAGATTTACCTGCTTTTCAGATACTTAATGAGTGAGTCATTAACTGTTAATGAGTGAGGAGCAATTTGCATATGTATCTCTAACCCCACTCACCTCACTGTTGCTGTAACGAGCCAGCTCGGATATGAAACGCATATGGTCTTCTCTGATTTGGATCATCTGCTCACATATATTGTACTGGGGACTGCTGCTGGAAGATGTGCACGTCCATCTGGTTCAGAAGACAAGAAAAACCCCACCTAGATGAGTTTTGACAATAAACAGCACAACTGATACTGCAAAGAAAGATCCATAATGCATTACTTTTTTTTTTTAATATGTTTTTCCTTCCTTGTTGTTTGAGGTTTTTCCTCTCTTCACACCTCTACCTTTACCCCTGCACAAGCCATTAGTGATGAACTGCCCTTCTGAGTTCAAATAGCACTTCTTCCAAGTCTTAAGCAAAAACTGTGAAGTTTTTTTTTTCCTCTTTTGGGAGTTTTACTTTTTGTTCTTTAAAGGTTGCTGCTATGAAATACGAACCAGCATCTCGCTTCAAGAGTGCAAGATCAAAAAGGATTAAAAGGTAGGGCAGAAATACAGGTATAGGCTGTAAGATACATCTAGCCACCTGCAGATATTTTTTGTTTATTCTTGTTGAACTCTGAAGAGTGTACAGTATGCTCCCAGCTATAAAAGACACATTATCAAGTACTATTAACATGTTATGAAGAGGCACACAAAAAACATGCTACCAAGAACGTCACGTTAAGTAGCCTCATATTTTTAGTAGCTCAGTAGGCTCATTGCCATTGATTTTCTCTTAGCAATTACATGCAAGTTATGTGGGTTTTTTTCTGCAGGAATTAAAATGCAAAGCACAACATTCTAAATTCATGTAACTGCATGGAGGCAAGGTCTTGGAGGAGCACAGGAAGGTTCACTAAAACAAAGCAATAACCAAAAACCATGGATCCATTAATGCAACAACTGGCTGCATTTTCCAACCATTTCAGTGTGCTGCACACCTAGCCAAAAAAAAAATAAAATAAAAATAGGGGGGAGACAAGCTAAGTTGCTGCTCCATGTATAATGTACACATGCCTAGTCACCCATGCAGTACTACTGCTCACCTTGCTTAGTAAAATCCTTCATTTCTTTTAAAGAAAGTTTCAAATTTAAAGGAAAAAATAAAAACTAAATTAGTGTAAGATAAAATTAATTTCTTCCAACCCAGCTGATAAGAAATGTCACAGATACAAGAATGAGCTCAGCAGCATAGAAAGGTTTTTAAACCATCTGTTTCTTTAGTTGTATCCATTACATGAATACATTAATAGTGAAATACCCACACCAAAAGCATGATGAAGTGAAAATCCTATTAATTACCACAGACACATGGACTAACATCTGAGTATGAAAATATACTCCAAGGGTCAGATCTTCCCCATCCCAGATGCTCCACTCTGCTTCTTTCTCCTTCCTACCTGGATTTATTTTCCTCGTAATGGGCACTGGTCTTAATGTATCTGGCAAGTTCAATCTGCATGTCACCAAACAGTGGGACAACCTGCAACTGCTGTACACAGGGAACAAATCAGATTAGATAAATTACTAACATAAATTGTAGTGAAAGGAAGCCATTATTTATCCATATTATATCCCAAATTTATCTTTTTTTCTGTTTAAATATATTTAAAATGCAAGAGAAACTACCTTTAAAATCACATCTTAACCAACCTTAAAGTACTTGTCTATCTTGGCTAAATTTATCCTTTTCTTTGCATCCAGCTTATAGATGTTACTGACACTTCCATCCATCAGGTATAATCCAAAGCCCATTACCTGAAAAAGGAAAAAATTAGGCCTTCCACAAAAGGACCACAGAAGTAAAATCCTGTAAGTCTGTTAATCCTGAAACACCCAACCTCCTTCAAACAGAATATATTTTCAAATACCTACATTTCTGTACCTGTATCTTTTTTTACCTGTCTTACCAGTTTTAACATTAATATTAGACTGATTAGTTACCCTTAAAGGTTTAGCATTAAAAAATAATCTCATTGAAACAAGAGTCTGGCTATTTTTAGCGCTTTTCACTTCCATTTTATTTAAATTCTGTACATGCAGACTGATTTGGTAGCAGAAGTTTAGATCTAACATCTATGAGTGATTGCTCTTCTGGCTTTCAGTACCTCCACAAGAGCTCAGAAGGATCTAGAAGAAATTTAATTACATTTTGTCCAAGGTATTGAATTAACGTAAGGTCAGAAATTTATCAGGAAAAGGCTCTTCACCCAGATGGTGGTTGGGCACTGGAACAGGTTCCCGAGGGAAGTGGTCACTGCACCAGCCTGGCAGAGCTCAAGAAGAGTTTGGACAACACTCTCAGGCACATGGTGTGACCCTTGGGGATGGTGCTGTGCAGGGCCAGGAATTGGACTCAATGATCCTTGTGGGTCCCTGCCAACTCAGCATATTCCTGGATTCTATTTAGTATTTAAAAGAGCCAAGAAGAGCAACTTACTGTGTTCTAAGCATCTCTACTGAACAAAAGGCCTAAATACAAAAGTCACACTGGGCACCCTTGCAGATAGAATGCAAATGCTCTGGAGTTTATGTGTGGTTTCAGAAGACTTCTGTTTATTCCTAATAAAGAGAGCTCTTCAGAAGTTAAACATTAAAGTGATTTAAAATATTTGTCATGATGCAAATTTTTAGCTCTTACTCTTTATCTTTTCTACCACTGCAAGCTGTGCAGCTGATATCAGCCACATTTCATACTTCCCAGCACCCTCTTATTACAAGTACATACTCCAGCTAACTAAACTGACTTATTAATCCTAATTTCAAGATACTTGTTCTCGGAAATATTTGATACACAACCTTACTTCCAAAAGCTTTTTAAATTATCTTGCCACATATCTAAAATAAAATGCAGTAATTCCTTTCTGCTGTCATCATACTTCATAGAAACACAATTCCACAGAATTGAATGCAGTTCAAATAGGTCAACCTCAATTTATGAAAAACAAAAATGGATTAAAAGCATGTTTCTCACTGGGTGTTAGATACATTTTGTTTTCATAGTAGTCCACACACAAGTTCACAATATCTGCAAGCAGCTCTTCATAGCCAACGATCACCTCCAACTGCTGCTGCAAAGACTGGAGAAAAAAAACAAAACGATATGAGTTAAGTAGTTGCACTGACTGGGAAAAAAGTTACTACCAAACTGGAAGAACTTTATTTTAGTACTTTTGCAAAGCATTAGGTAACTTGGGAGAAGACAATTCAATACTTTTGCAAAGCATTAGGTAACTTGGGAGAAGACAATTCAAGCTTACTTGTGTTATCTTGTTGTGGTTGGCAAGGAACATGGAAAGGTTCTGAGACTCTTGAATGGACTGAGGATCTGCCATTTTCCGCAGGAACTGAGCAGCTCTTTAAAAATAGAAGAAAAACTGTATTTCTCTTGGCCAGGACTGTTTGTAAGTAAACCTATCTCCTCAAAAAAAAGGTGAAAAGTTCACTAGAAGAGAGAGAGGGACTTAATTTATCCAAAATAAACTGGTTTACTACCCTGAATTCCTCACTACACCCCTACTTAGAAGGTCCAATAAAACACAAATGAAAAAAACATTGGCTATATGCTCCAACTGCGTGCAGCTGTGGCTCTATAGATCCAAGCCACTCAACAACCCAGAAAAAGCCAGTCTTCCAGAAAACAAGCATTTGGCCTCTAGAAACACACCTCCAAAGAAAAAGAAAAGCAAGCCAAGTAAGTTTAAGAGGTCTCCATGCACAACAACAACTACAACAGGTGGAGGGAGAAACTAAATCTCACATAAGTAGGGGCAACACAGGTAAATTTGGCTAGTTATTGACTGAATAGTTTTCTGCATGAAAGACCACAGATGCTAGAGCTGGCATGAAGGCCATCTTGCCCTGCTGCTCTGACTGCTGTGTTCAACAGAAGATACCTGACACCATCTGGTAGATCTAGTACAAAATCTGGCCACAGGTATCTCACCCCCTCCCTTCCCTGCTATGCCTGACAATGATTTTGAACAGCAAAGCTGAAACATCTCAGTGGCAAGTATAACAACTCTTAGCTACAAATGTCCAAAATGCATGCCAAGAGTAGAATAGATCAGGAGTAGCACAAGTGACCAGAATGCCAGCTGCCTCTCAAACTTCAAAACAGAAACTTTACTGAACAAAGTATATGCATTACATTTAGCATACACCAAGATGTAAGTATTGGCAGCTTGGCATTTAAGGCAGAAAATCCTTTTGCTGCTGGAAGAACAGCACAAAGAAAACTGCCTAACTGCAGTCAAGCCATCCCTAGTTTCAAGGTAGCTTGTCCCATGTGTGAAGAGACTATTTTTGAAGAAAAAGCTGTCAGAAAAAAAGCAGCTGCTGCCATCTCGTGGGAGGCCTGATTCCTGGCAGAGAAGGCTCGGGTCCTGCTGCCCTTTGCCACTTACCGCTTGTAGGCTGAGTGGTCGTTCTTCACACTGCACTTCATATTTTTCAACTCATCCAACACCGCAAACATGTTGATGAATTTGCCCAGTGTGATCAGATAGGCTTCAGACACAAAGTCCTTCCTTCTCTCTGCGTGGCACAAGCGTCTCACCTCTCCACAAAACCGTTCAATTGCATTTCTCTAATGGGGGGAAATGACAGAAAAAACAGAGACTAAAAGCCATGACATTTCCAAGGAAAAAGTTTTATCATGTTCGTAGAGCTGGTCCAGTGAAAAGCCCCAGTGAAGCAGGAAAACGTTTAAACCATGCAAAATTAGCAAGGCATGAGTACAGGCCTTTCAGACCTGTATCTGAAAGGATACAGGAGACCTAGCTCCTCCTTGATATGTGCTACAAGTGCCACCAGTGATTTTTGCCACCAAGCTTGCCTGACCTATCTTCTTTGCAGATAAAGGTAATTAAAAATACAAATAAAAAATAGGACAAAGGGGTAATGTTTTTTAAACTAAAAGGGGGTCAATTTAGATTGGATGTAAGGAAGAAGTTTTTTACAGCGAGGGTGGTGAGGCACTGCAAGAGGTTGCCCAGAAAAGCTGTGGATACCCCATCCCTGGAAGTGCTCAAGGCCAGGTTAGATGGGGCTCTGAACAACCTGATCTAGTAGAAAATACCCCATTTCACTGCATGGGGGTTGGATTATATGGTTTTCAAGACCCTTTCCAACTCAAACTATTCTGTGATTCTTTGAAGTTTAAATTCCCTCAAAAAAAAGGAATTTCATTCTCTTTGGTGAGTAAGTATCTATGAATTAAAAAGTAAATTATATGAACACTCCCTTCAAACAAACAAACAAAAATTCACAGCACACTGTACATGCCAGCTCTCTTAAGTCATCCTGACACGTGTTTATTTGAGGGCTTATTTCCAAGTGCACACCAGGGCCATTTCAGATGGAGATTACAAATGTGAAAAAGACAGCACCTTCAAATGTAAAAAGGAATCTGTTCTGATTTTAGAGCTCTAATCTGCTTGAATGGAGACTGAATGAAATGTAACATTTCCTGTCGCCTTCCTCAACCCGGGGTCTTACTGAGTTCAACAATCTCCTCCTTCCTGTGTGCTCCGGGTCTCACAGGCTCTAGTTGCTCCATCTCTGAATAATGCCTGGAAACATCCTCAGTCCATTGAAATGGATGGCAAGCTGCCAGGAGGGAGGAGAAAGCAAGACAGACTGCCATTCTCCAGCTCGGGTGGCTGGCAGGTCACAACAACTGGCCTTGCCTCAATTATGAATCGCCATAGCAAAGTTGCACCTGCTGCTCTGCTGTCCAGACTTGTGGATCCCTCATTCCCCAGCAAATGCTTTCTGTGCTGAGATTTATATGTGAAACACATTATATTTCTATTTCCTTCCTTCCTAAAGTGACAGATCTCTGTCCCCATGTGCTGCATAGGGACTATACACAATTACTTTTGATTCTTTGTTGAAAGTCTTAATGGAGATTGACTCAAGTTTTTAACATAGGCATTAAAATTTCTGCCCTTCTGAGAGAGAATATGGTGTGTTTTTTCTAACATATAATGCCTAGGTTCAGAACCTGAGTACATACACAATATGAAGTATACAATACGAAGCAGGAATATAAAATTACAAACCTACTGACAAATATTGTTCCCATTTCTTTTACCTGAAAATACATAAAATTCATCAGTTTTGTCACTTCTGGCTCCAGAACTTCCACAGTTTTCTCATAAATTTCTACTCTGTTAGGCTGCTCGTTGCACTTGACCTGTGGATAATTAAAGAGGTTGTTATACCTGGAACTTTCCCCAGTAAAGCTTCAACAACTAAGATTTTCATTCATTCATTCTCATGCATTTTCCTGAGAAAATGCATTATCAACATAAAGAGACAAACTTAAAAACAAAAACTTCCAAGTTTGCTAATCTTATGCTAATCTTCCACGCTTAACTGTGTGCAAAATACCCCAAAACAATCTACGATTTTCCTACTACCTTACAGCAAGTAATTTAGTTGAAAAACACCTCTGTAAGGTGTATAGGGTGTAACCTTTTCACATTAAGCCACTTTCTCAAAATCATGCACTAAAATAGGGCCAGATTGTAAATTAAAACAGGTTACCTTACTTCCACTCTAAACATTTAAACCACAAGGTAAGCCTTCCTTGCATTTCAGTATAAAAATAATTGCATTACAAATTCGTTAAAAAGGAAGGAGTCAATTCATGGTAATAATTGTGTTCAGTTTTCTGACGCCTCTTAATATTCTCCCCACCCCACGACACTTGAAGCTGATTTGTGCCCTATTCACAGGAGGGTTGTTTTGTTTTTATTTTGTATACAGGTCAAGAAAGCGTGGTGTAGCTCTGACCTTTAGAAAGTGGCTGCCTTGATGTAGTAGTGTCTAGAAACTTAGGTCTTTAACCTGAATGTTTTTATAAGCTATGCTACTTGTTTTGAATTCAAGTATTAAACTGGGGAGATGGAAGAGTCCATTTCCTTGAATGAAAAGTTGATCTCAAGCAGATCCCATAATCTTAAGTTTTCCTTTTAAAGCACATTAACCGTATACTATTCTTGAACCAAAAAGTGAGGCTGACACAAGGTCCATGAGGTATTGCTATAGATGCCTTGTAAAAAAATAAAATTCAACTGGTCCCCAAGTGCTAAAAGACACTGTTCTATGGCATGTCCAGCTCGACAATTCAGGAATCAAAGCAGAATCCACTTTGTATCTCACTGACAAATCTCTTTGTAACTCCACACTAAAACAACACAGAAGTTCACACGTTGCATGACAGTAGTTTTCATCCTTTACCTGGGGAATGGCTCTTGAGCAACTTCTCCATGTGTACAACATGATTGCATATTCCTGACCTTCTTCTAACATTTCATTCTGTAGGGAAGACACTCAATACAATTAGGAATTGTAATACAAAAGGATTATATCCATGTGTCTTCTGTCATTCCAAGCCCTTGTCCAAATGAACGTATTTCTCTTAAGAGAATGTATATGTACAAACACACATATATTGCAAGCTGAATCAATGCATCATCAATTATTAGCTCCCCAGATCATACTGGTTTCTTTCTTCCCAAAACTCATGACACTGTGATCTGTAAGTATAAATAGAAATTAGATTCTACAAATTCTAGAAATAGAGAATTATAAGACATATTATTCCTAATTTTCCAAGAATGCCATGAAAGAAGGGAACCTTTGAACAACAATAGTTGCTCAAGAGGAAAGGCAATTTAAAAATTTTTTGAGAAGTGTGCTTGAAAAAAAAGAAAAGTCACACTTCTTCATCTTACCTCCTCCTGGCAATGTTGTAGGTTACCTGTTTTCTGTGACCACAGTTCTTATAATGAACTGCAAGAAGACACATTCCTCTCCTTTTATTCTACGTAACACAAAAGTGTGTATCAGAACATCTACTTACCATGCTAGAATGGACCGTAGCTTGCTCAATGTATCTTGCAATACCCGTGACAAATGCATTTCTGTCTTCAAAATTAGTGTTGAAGTTTGGCTGCAGAAAAAGGAAAACATACAATTAAGTCTTCCATAGCAGCATCTCTCCTATGAAAGAAAACTCAGCACCTGGCATTTTTCAGCCTGGAGAAGGCTCTGGAAGACCTTATGGCAACATCCAGGACTGAAAGGGGTACTGAAAGAGAGCTGGAGAGGAGCTTTTTACAGGGGCATGTAGTTACAGGACAAACGGGAATGGATTCTAACTAAGGGTAGTTCTAGATTATGTATTAGCAAGAAACTATTGACTGTGAGGGTGGTGAGGCTCTGAACAGGTTGCTCAGAGAAGCTGTGGCTGACCCATCCCTGGAAGTTTTCAAGGCCAGGCTGGATGGGCCTTTTAGCAACCTGGTCTAGTGGAAAGTGTTCCTGCCCATGACAGAGGCATTGGACTAGATGATCTTTAAAGTCCCTTCCAACCCAAACCATCCTATGGTTCTATGAAAAGAATTTTTATATATATTGCCAATATAAACACACTTTGGTTTTGGGGAAAACATACTCTTTCTTAACAGCACTGGGAAATGGAAACTTTTTCCTATAATGAGAAAATACCTGGTACAGAAGAGATGATGGTGGGGGCTCAATACATGGTTGCTGATCCGGCAATGGTAATTCCTCCAAGAGGTCAACATTGGACAAGGCATCCTCCAAAGTTACTTGAGCAGTCATTTTGCACCTGATTAGAAAATACATATATATAGATATGTAGATGTATACACACAGATATATAAAGTTATATGTGTTACTATATTCACAGTAAACAAATGAGTAACATGAAGAGTAGGCAATTTATATTGTGGGAAATGGGAAGTTTCCCTTCAACCAAAACAGAAGGGAAACAGTCAAAAAGAAACTAAGCTGATTTTCAAATACAAGTTTAAATAAAACTTTTGAGACTAACACCCTTGTCCTTACTTTTAGGACTTGAGAAACGTTTCTCCTCCCCCACTGCTGGACACCAGAAATACATCAACAATAAAGGAAAGGATGATTCTAAAGCTCAGTTTTGAGCCAATGTGTTTTCAAAACTTTATACACTACAGTTTCTATAACCACATCATCTTCAGGAGACCAGGCTGTCAAAAGATGCCAGCAGTCTCCAGTGTTTCATGTCCCAGGATATCCAGATCTGCTTTGGGTAGTTGATGACAGACCCCTCTGGGCCATGGCAATCTCCATAACCTTCAACTGCTGCCACTGCCTGGAGTTTTGAACCAAGAAAGCAAAGGGAAGAAATCTGAACCATCTGTGATGACTGATCAAGCACTGGAACAGGTTGCCCAGAGAAACTGTAGAGTCTCCTTCAATGGAACTTTTCAACAAATGTCTGGCTTCAATCCTGGGACATGTGCTCCAGGATGACTCTGCTTCAGCATGGAGGTTGGACCAGGTGAGCCTCTGTAGTTCTTTCCAAACTTACCTATTTTACGATGTTGTGAAAATTTAGGAAGAAAACATGGGGTGGAACAACTCAGTAATCCACTTTTGTATAATGATCTACTCATTCTCCTCAGTGGAGTGAAAAAAATATTGATTTTCAGGTAATATCTCTAATCAAGATGTCTCATTTTTTTTGCAAGTTATTTTCGCCCGTTTACCAGAGAAAAACCATACACCTATGGTGCAAGGAGCAGCTGAGCATTGCCCTGAGCTCTAAGCAGGAGGAAGGGAACACTAAGCACCCACATCCCAGAGGAGCAGGACCCTGCTTGGCATGTGACACCCCTGTGGACCTGTTCCATCCCCACATATAGGGAGAGTACAAGCAGATCCCAATGCAGCCTTGACAAAAACTCACTGCAAGACAGCTGATATGGGCTGGTGATCCCACCACTCACTGCTCTTTTATTGGCCTGGCAGAAACACCTCCTCACTTTCTCTTGCCTAATTACAGATTCCTGGAGAAAGATCCACAGAAACAGCAACTTTACCTCCAAGGAAGGGCTTAGCTGACAAAAAAAAACAGAACCAAAACTCAGACTCCAAGGAGAGATAGCAACCAGGATCAACTACCTGTCTATCTCCAGAGACCAACCCTGTGAACCAAGACACTGCTTCAAAGCTAATGTACCACATACGGAGAGAGCTTGCCAACAACTTTATAAACAACAACAAACAAAGATTCATAGATCTGTTTCTTCTTGAATGCCCAGCCCAAACCTTGCTCCCAGCCTGAGCATATCAGTTTTTGTTAAAATAAATAAACAAACCAGTGCTCATATTGTGCAATTTGTAGTCCTTGCCAAAAATGGGATGAAGGACTGGACTGACAGGAGTGCTGGCTGGGAAGCCTGCACCAGGATGTTTGCCCAACACCTGCCTACACCCAGATCAAGCCCCAACACAAGAACCACAATTATTCTCAAATTAGAGACCAGCAGAGAACATTGTATCCTCTCTTCAATAAACCAACACACCCCAAAAAACTTCCACGGCTGCACAAAAGTCCTGTGAGGAGGCCAGACTGAACAGTTTTACCCTAGAGGAAACCAAGCTGACAAGTTAGTCAGAACATCTACAGATATGTCTGTATCTATATCTTTATATATGAGTCTGAGTATCTACAAATCAAGCTTTAGCTAAAAAAGAAAACTGATTAACTGTGAGGCTCCTTCCAGCTTGAAACTTTTTTTCCTCTTAGCCTCCCTGTCAAAGTACAAACACCCAGTGTGCAGCTACTCTGGGATGTGCCAGGGATGGTAGCCCTCTTCCCCACAAAAAGCAGTACAAAAAATGTTTTAAAACCCATAGGGAAAAATGGCCAGCTGTTCTACACCAAAAACTACCTGCTGCAAAACTATCTGCAACTATCTGTGTAAAGCAAGGTGTCACAGCATGCTAGGAAGTATCAGCACCCTCTCCCCAGTCCACACATCTTCCTTCTCCTCCTAAAACATGGTCCACCAATGGCTTCCAGTTCTGCAGCTGAACAGAGCTAGTCATTCACAAAATCCAAGCTCCTGACTTGCACTTCCTCAGCACTACAAGAGAATATTCTGAAGATGTGTCCCATACATCCCAATTCTGAAAGAACACCTGCATGCTTTTAGCCTCAATATCTACAGCTGCACAGGAGCAATCCTCCAGCATCAGCTGTGTTCAGACTATAAGACATTAGACTATCTGTGGATTTGTTTTTAATACTTAGAAAACAATTTAAAAATAGAACCCAAAATCCCAGCTGACTTACACTGCCATCTCTTTAATAGCACAGGTCTGGGAAACCCTCATTAACAGGCATGGGGCACAAGTAAGAAACAAAAGCTTCCTGCTGCCCTCTGGGTTATGATATGTGTCCTTCAGCATGATTTCCTAAAGATCAGCATTTTTTAGAGCAGGAAAACAAAGGCCATTGGGCACAGACAGTTGTAAATGTCTTCTTGTTTTGAGGTTGCTTGCTGACAGCTCCACTTTGCAATTTTACCAAAGGTATCTACATGTCTGGTGTTTTGTCGTTCAAGTTCAACGTCCCTGCTCTCCAGCCTTTGCACTCCAGTATCTAGCAAGACATGAAAGAGGAAGCAGCTCCTTCCTGCCCAGCTTTGAGACATTTGCAAACGTTGTGAGGGCATGATTCACATTTCCCCTCTGCCTCCCCAGAAATGAGCAGGAGTTTTGACAACAGCAATGGCAGAGCGACAGCTGGAACTGGTTCAGGGTTTTTCTCCCCTTCTTTATCTTTGTTGATAAAACAAGCTCCAAAAGACAACAGCTGTTTCTCATGTATGATGATGAAAGGCTGGCAAAACCAGATTATTTTTTCTCCCTAAGCTCAGAAAAATGAGTTTAAGAAAAGCTAAAATTCCTAAGACACAAAATTGGATAGCTTTGTCTCCTTTAGAGTCATGAGTTTTTAACAGATTAAATTACTGGGCTGGAGAGCTAATATTTTAACAGATTCCTTTATGACAGCAAATATAAAAAACTTAAAAGACCTACTTAAAAAAAAAAAAGTTTGATTAGGAGTTTACATAAACAAGAACAAACTAAAATGCTGTAGTCATGCTCATCATTATAGTTATATGAGGACATTTATCCAAACTGATAATTTTTTTCTTACTAAATTCCTACAAAGCTGTGTTTTCAGTTCTGTACCCACATAAGATTTCCCAGGATAGCTTTTCTCAGGCAGAAGACATATAAGCATTACTTCTGAAATGATATTTTTTCTTTTTGGTATCCTTGGATTATGACCCATCCTTAATGCACTAAAGTAAAAATGCATTAACAAGAACATGTTCTCCTGGTTGTGCAGAAGTTAAATGGTGAACATTCAACATTCATGATCTGACATTCTCCCTTAAGGAGAATCACACACCAGCAAGCTGTTTTGCTAAATTTTGGTGTTTGATGAACACACACAGTTTTCTAAGCAGGGGAGAGCCAAGCCTGTCCTGATTCTCAGTTCCTCATCTGGATTTCAAAGTAAGAAAATTCCTGTCTCAAAACAAACTTCAGCCTCACAGTACCAAATCCCACCATGTCCAAGGATCAAGAGATACCAGTCCCAGGGTTTGGAGTTTTTCAATATGTTAGTGCAAGGCCACAGACTAGCTTAAACTAGGATATCATCTTTTTCTTCAGTTCTGAAAGAGATGAGCACCACAATGGGCTTGACCTGCTCAGAAGAGCTTGTACTGTGGAGAAGCTCACTGAGCTGCCTCTTATATTTTCTCCATGTGAAAAATCAACCAAAACCAGAAAGCTCCTCCAGCATTGTTTACATTTTGATTTAACTTCAGAATTGGATTATTATTGAAAATATTCACAAAAAGAGTTGGCAACCTTTTTAAAATGTCGCAATTCTGCACCATTGCTCTCAGCCATGTAACTTCATGGTAAGCAGAGCCCTGCTAACAACATTGCTTTGGTATCTAGAGGAGATGATATCTCTACTAGGACTGACAATCATTTCCACATCTCCATCCCTACAGAATAATGTCTAAGTCCTTGCACAAGGTCTGTATTCTTAACTCCAAGCATATCAGAAAACAGCCAGCATGCATCTTCAGCCATGCTCTTTTGGGCCTCCTGAAGTTTCAGATTATTTGGAAGAAAATGTGAACAGGAGCAAATCATGGGGAAAAATGTTTTGGACAAAAAAAAAAAAAATAAAAATAGAAAACTGACCAGAAGAAATAATAAGAACTACAGAAGGTTGTCAAGTTTCTCATCGGTCTTGGGTCTTCAAAGAGACAAGAGCAGTTGTTGATTGTTGTAAAGTTGTTTATTGCATGAATACATCAGTCTCAAAGGCGAAGAGTTCTGAGTATTAGAGTCCTAATGTTCTGAGCAGCAGCAGTTTCTTTCCTTTCTTCTTTCTGTTGTTGTTCTGTTCACCCCAATAGACGCGGATTTTATTCATAAATCATCCAATCAGCTAAAAACACAATTCTAAAACATTCTTCCCGCACCAATCTGAGCTTAATACTAATGTATGAAAGTAGTGTCAGTTCTTACCCAAAATATATGCATATTTTTTATCTGTTTATGCAAATAATTCTATCTAGAAATGTAAGCAATATTCTGCTATGTTTTCATTATGTCTGGAGCTAAGTTAAGTTGGTAAAAGGCAACACTACTGAACTTTAAACTAGACTTTAGGGGTTTTTACTATCTAGCACAGTCTCTTAAGGCACTTAAGAGATATTTCTACTTACTTAAAACTAAAGCTTA